GGGGGGGGGGGGGGGGTGCTAGTACGTCAAGATGTGGATGTCAGATTCACAACAGCTCACCCGTTTTCTGGCAAAGCTGGAGAAGGGTTCTCGACGAACGAACGAAGGAGGTTTGCTACTGGTAATGGTGGTGGTGGCGGCGGCGGCCACGAGCCTTGCTGTGTCACTGTCACCGTTGTCACTGTCACTCCTGCAGTGTCAGCTTTCTGTGCGTGTGTTCTCAGCAGACCACTTCTTGGTTGGTGAGAAGACGAGAAAGAGGGCCGGTGGTGGTCCGGTCTGGCTGGGTTGTCTGCCTGCCTTATTCCCTGATCCGATCCGATTTCTCCTGCGAGTGTCGTGTCCTTCGGGGATCTTTGACACTCGCTGCTGCTGCAGGTATCATGATGGGCCGAGGGGACGAACAGAGGATTCTGCCGCACCAGTATAAGGCGTCTCTTTAAGGAGACGAGGAGCGGTTCATTAAATTCGCTCGCATGTCAGTTCGATGGTCGGTAATCGCTGCCATGATCCTTCATGACATGGCAAAGATGGGAAGCCCCGACGAGCAAGTTGCCTTACTTCCTGCCGTCTGCTTTACGCCATAACGGTTCCTCAAGTATTACCGTGCTCAGTTCGGCGAAATAGGGAGCAAACACACATCCCATTCTAAGTAGTTCTGTCCCTGTTCCGGCAAATAAGGTTGCTTGGCTTGTCGAACAGTGCGCGGGAGCTGGGTATTTGTAAAGAGTCCTTGGGAATCATTCGGTTCCGAGACTGGTGAACCACCTCCGTTTCCCTTCTTGACTGGATTGTCCCTTCTTCAACAACCTTTCCAGCACCCCGGCCCCGTGCATCCGTCTACCCGGGGGTTGCTCCAGGGGTTCGTTACAGACATCCAGTGCCCTGGGGCCTGTTTTGGTTGGCCCAGAAAGTCGGGACGTTAGTTATTGGATGAAGTGAGGGCTAATTCGACGTTTTGTAGTCATCTGCTGACGACTGAGCAGTTCTGAGTCCGGATTTCGAAGGGCTTCAGGCAATTTATTTTCTGATTTAGATTTGCTTCTTTCCCTCTGGTATCGAGGCGCCGAGATACATTCCAGTCCATCACCCTCCAGCTTTCTGGCACACATCAGTACTTGAGTAGCTTCAAGCAGACCCAAACAGTGCAATTTTGGCAGAGGTTGGCCCCTTGCCTGTACGTAAGGGTATGTAATTGCAATCAGGACGGAGCCCGCTCCGGATGCTACCTCACTTGCTCCAAGTCTAATTGCTAGTATCTTTTAGCCAGGCAGCCTGACAGGCCTAGCAGTGCCCTAGCAAATCGTCAGAAACAGGCCCGGTTGGGCAAAGGCGAATGAAAAGAAGGTTATTTTCTCGTTTTGCTGAGTATTTCTGCAGCGTTGCCCTTGGGACGCTTAAAACTGGATCTGGTAATGTCGCTGGTGTGCGTAATTCCTTACGATTGCAGTGATCACGGGCTTCTGCTTTTTCTCCAAAGCGGTCATCCAAAACTCAACTTTTGCTTGAACACATGCAGCTACTAGATTACCTTGGATCCAGCCTCGCGAGCAGAGCGAGAAAAGTGAGGCCCGCACCTGTGCACATCTCGCAGATAAGAACGAAGGGTCTAGAGGCAGGGCCATAGGCCATGACATCTTCGCGCTTTAGTTCAACCTTGAATGTTCGTACAGACCTGTGATCGGACAATGTCGTTACTGAAGTCACAAAGAGTTCGTTCGCCAAGAGGCACCCGTAGAGGTATCTTGGTAGCAATCTTCCTCGAGCCAGCGGCGAGCGATGAAGTCCGGTCGTCCCCTCCATCACCGAAGTCTCCTCATGTTCCGGTTGAGTGAACTGAGTGTATCATGAACAAAACCACATCAGTTCAAGTTAATCAAGTATCTGCCGTCGATGCCGTGATCAAGTACGCCGCCAGCTGGTCGGCAACGTAGGATTGCGTCTGCAGTGGATGTCGGGTCTGCCGTGTGTCCAGATCTGCCAAATGTTTGTCATGACGGAATCAACCAAACAGCGCCGGTCGATATCATGAGTAGCTTCCATAGCCTTTCCATCATGGGGAAAGGAAGACCCAGAGACTCGTCCACTCCACAAACTGCGGGAGCTTTATTGAGCTGGATTTCAACCCACGGTTCTGAACGCGCTAGCAGATGACCACCGATGATGTGCAGTCCTCAGATTTTCCGCTGCCATTTCGAAGCTTCAAGGCCACCTAAACAAGTTCGACAGGGTGCGGGACGGCACGCCCGGCGGCATCTTTCCTCGGCGATACACGCGTGCACAGCATGGCTTCCCGGCCGAAGCTGTGACGTGTTTTGCGTTTTGAAAACCAGTTCTCTCTCCCTAAGTGTCGGTCTTGGGTCTGCGGGTGCCTGTATCATGAATAGAGGCATGTGTCGGGGAAAGAGCGCTCCTATATGTGTTGGAGGCTTGGGCCTTTAACACAGGTTACAAGTTGTAGGAATTGCATAACTTGGCTCTGGTCCCTCTATCTCCCGCATTCCCGTCCACGAGCGTATCATACAACCAACAATTGTTGGCATGTGAGGGGGATAGGTGAAGGAAGGTACAAGTTGCCTCTTGGGATGTCCGGGACGTGGGTACCGACCAAAGTACCACTGTACCGCAGTACCTTGGGCCGTGCTCCTTGCCCCTTGTCCGGTAGGTGCATGCACCGACCGGCATTGTCATCTCAGCCAAACCATGCGCCATGCTACGTAATTACTTGTATTGCGACACCCCGGCAATACAGTACGGACCTGTTACAATACCATACCACATGTCTTCAACCTCTAGTAGAGCACTTAAGAGAGGTTGCGTGATGCCGAGACGACCAGTGTTGGGACCCTGTCCATGTCGTCCGTCTATTGTCACCAAAACCCATCCCCGGTTTTCACTTTTTTTTTCCCCCCTCTCTCTCTTTCGTTCGTTATGAGCCGTGGGTTCGACATGCCGGGGGACTCCTGACAACGGTGTCTACTGGGCGCCTTTCCGTCCAGAGATACATACCTACTACGAAGGACATTGCATCCGCCTATGGATGGTACACGCGCGCGCCCTCTCGCAAAGACGCAGCATCCGTGAGAACCGCCAGAGAAGCTCGGTGGGAAAGCGCAGAACACCACTCGAATGACACATTGAAGGCTACTTGCGATCCAGAGGCATCCTGCAGCAAGTGCGTTCAACATATCTGCACACAACAATTCCGAACAACATATCCAGCAACAAAGGTTCCATATTGCAGCTCCGAGAGGTGTACGCCAAGAGAAGTCGACACTCGACATATCAATACACATCGATGCCAACAGCCTCGAGTGTCATCGAGTCAATTCTGCACCTTCGTGCTATTTACCTATTCGGAATTCCGCCGCAGTCAATGAGTTGAAGGCTATCAATTAACATTGGGCTTCTTTTCTTTTTGAACTTTTTATAAAATACCTATCCTCCCAGAGAAAACCCGGGCCCTTTTCCTTCACTCCTTGTCACTCTTCACTGTGCCATATTGTCCCACAAACACTCTTGAGTCCGCTCTTCCATCAACATCGAAGACCAAAGGTAACGTGCCTCTGACACAAAACGGTCAAGACAGATAAAACTGACAAATCGAGTGTTAGCACACGCTGGCTTCGTTGCCGCTAGTCGTCCATTTCCTATAGAAGCACTACCCTGTGTCTAACGGGCGCCTGACATCTGACAACACCACATCACAACGTTCCGCGAGACCATTGCCCTCCCAGTTCGATATTTCTTACTTCATCCAAGATGGCGACATCATTCTATCACCGTCCACCGCACCACCAGCCTCAGACAATGCATGGCCTGAACGTGAGTAGCTCACAGAGCGACCCGCGGTCGCTTCCATCTCCTGGCTCAGCACTGCCACCCATCCGGTCCATTATTCCAGATTTTGATAAGCTGGACATGGACTATGGGCGCCGGCAATCTCAGGCGCACAAGGATACTATTGATGGTGGAAACTCCCAAGGATACACCACTGATCGTCTGCCAACAACGGGCTCTAGCCCCAGTATCAATGTCTTTCCGCAACATAGTCATGGCCAGCAAGATCCCGGAGCACGTACCTATCTAGATGGCCCGCTTCCGCGTCTGCCACCGTCGGACGCTTTTGCTCAACACAACGGCTATCATCAAAACAGCGAGCCACGGCGTGGCTACCCTCAGTATGGCCAACATCAGTCCATATACCGTCAGGATAGCTACCCTCCTCACGGGTATCCTCAAGACTCCTACTACCCCCCACTAGAACACCGTCATGGGCCCTTCCCTCAACCCGGATCCCAGCAGAATTTCTACGAACAGCGTGCCCGCAGCGAGCGCTTGCACTATGATCATCCTTGGGGGGGCCACTCTGATTCTGCGGTGAGCCCTCGGGGCGGCGATGGGGGCAAGAACAAGAGACGTGGTAATCTTCCCAAGGAGGTTACGGAGAAGCTGTACGCTTGGCTGTACGGCCATCTAAACCATCCCTATCCGACCGAAGATGAGAAGCAAAAAATGATGAGAGAAACAAACATGCAGATGAGTAAGACAATCCGACAGCGTCTCCTTCGTAAGTACCACTTTACTGACTGTTGGCTTTTCAGATCAAATCTCGAACTGGTTCATCAACGCCCGTCGCCGCAAAGTCCCCCTCCTCATCGAACAGGCAAAGGCCGAAACCGAGGCCGCGAAGCATTATCGTCCCAACTCGTCACCCATCGCCCGCCGAACTCGACCGGTTTCGGTTTCCCACACGAGACACTACAGCCGCTCAGGTCCAGGCCGTGGCGTGCCCAGCCGCCGCAGCGTCAGTGTCGAGCCCTCAATCAACCACCTTCTCAATTGCCCGGAATCTGACGCGGATGTCCGACCACCGCAATATGCCACCCCCATGAGCGACAGAGGCGTCCTTGATTACAGCAGCCGGGAGAGCTCCGAGTCTTATGAAATGGATTCTCGTTACCAAAGCTATGGGCATGGACATGGCCATGGGCACCACGCCAGCATTTAACCTCTCGGGGCCGTCACAGCCATTTTCCCCCCCAAGCGCTTAATATCTTTTCTTGAGAATCTTATGTCACGGCATGGTAGGAGTTCTGGACAGCATTTGACAGCAAGGGATTAAGTCATCTGGTTCTTTCTGTCCCTGCTTCAATTTTTATTTTTTTTTTTCAAATTTTTTTTTCTTTTGGCACATCCTTCTTTAGGATGGCATTTTGGGTGGCAGATTATACCCTACGATTATTCACAGCGTATTTGGCGTTTCGGCTTGGATAGATATCCATCGGGGCTAGAACGCGGCGCCCCTGTCGTCCCTGACAACACGTTGAGTGAATTTTCTCGATGGCTTTTCGACACTGACGAGAATCGCTATGGTGTAATGCAGTGGCCCTTTTGGCGACGCGGCTATGTCGTGGTGGCGTAAGTCGTGATGGAACAAAACGGAGCGAAAACATGTATGGGGGATGAAGCAGGTTATCAAAACTACTAGTCTTAGTTGCTTAGATTAGTTACTCAAGCATAGCGTAAACAACACACTTCTGACAACCTCTCGGTTGATCTTCTCCAGGAGTGATTTGTTCGTTGATAATATGTTACCCGCTTCACGTTTTCCATCCTGCATACTCTGTGGACTGTGATGAGAGTCAGGCAGGCAGGTAGAAAGAAGATAGACAGCAGGCAGTTCAGGTTGTATAAAACCCACCTAGTGTTTTCGAACCCGCAAAGTCACTGTGCGCGAACAAGTCAAGTCACGATTTGCCCGTAATTGTAGGTAGTTTTGGCTAGTAAAAGAAGATGGACAGTGACAACGGGCATCATTCTTCTACCAGTTGCTACCCTACATGAACCATGGACGTGGTATCCTCTGTTACCGCTACCAGTGCATGTAAGCCATTTTCTAGGACCAGGCTCACCAAGCCCGCCCCAGATGTTGGACGTCAAGACATGCATCAAAGGATTATCTGGGCCTTGGGGACACAAAAGCGTCAAACCGAGCAAGGGTCTGTTTGCTCGAGGTGTATGTGTACGAGTGTGGGCGAGTGTGGGCGGCTGGACTGGACTGGGCTAGAACATGAATGAATGATGATTGTGTGAACAAAATGGATACTTTGTGGGTTATGGGTTACCTACCGGGTTGGATGGTGGGGATGGGTCAAGGTAGATGGGTACATGCATCGAAACCGAACACGTCGGACCTTGCCCAGATTCCATCCATGTCTGGCATCGGAAACTGGTCCTTCAGGTAGGTTGGATACCAAAGCATGCTTGTTGCCATGACGGGGAGTTCTTTGATGTCTGTTCATGGGGTTCAGGCCCCTGTTTCTTCCTATCTCTGATGCTTTATTGTTCCGAGGTTGCGAAGGGGCGCCCGTCCCAGAGACAGCTGGCGAGAAAATGGATGACAACCAGACCTCTCGACATTGCCTGATGGAATTGAGGGGCGCTCTTTCTCGGTGCTTACATACCTACTTCTATGCATAAACTCGCATCATCTGTATGTCCGATATCGATGCTTCTATGGCTTGCATACCTCTACCTCTGGCTGCACATGTCGACGTGTGGGGTTCGAAAAGTCTCGTAGAACTGCAAGCAAATAATGGATGAGAAGTGATACTTTTTTGAATTTTTTCGATGTATATTCAACCGCATGTTGGCATCATTGCCACGGTTACTTTGCTCTCATCACCAGGTTTTATATTTCTTACTATCACCGGTATGAACTTGGTTTGCTATCATATCATTAACATATTATGTACAAGAACAATAAGGACATCCATAACTTTAATCTTCACCACTATGATTGATCCATTTAACTGAAACTGAACAAGACGCAACAGATCGTCAGCAAAATACCATGTTACGGTAGAATGCTCAGTGTCTTCCGCCCGCCGGACGTTGGGTACAGAATCTCTGCATGCATCAGTTCTCACCTACATCACCCAGATCTACCATACAAACCATGACTGCCCGGACCCCTCATGCCTAAAAAAAAAAAAAAAAAAGAAGAAAAAAAAAAAAAGGACAATTTGTGGCGCAAGCCAACGATTTCCGAAAATATAACCCACCACGATACCTCTTGTACAGGATGAGCCATTCCCTGACCCCGGGCGGCTCTCTTTTGAAGCCATTACTAGTCATTTTCATCCCTTCACAGCCAATCCAAAAGCTCAGGCCTGAAGCCTCCTTCGGTGCTCTCTTTTCCAAATCTGCTAACCTCTAAAAGCCACACGTTGTGCTTCCTTTGGGTAGAACTCTCACTCCTGTTCCCATTCCTCACTTAAATATTCGGGTTTGTAATCCGACGATGCCCTCGCTGAGCTTTTTCCACTGCTTGTGGTGAGTTCTGTCAATTTGGCGTTGGTCTTCCTTTTCTTTGTCCTTTTTCTTATCACCGAATAGCAACAACCACTTACATTCATCATGTAATTCTATCGATTGCTTCCTCAATGACCATGATTCGTAGAGGCCGGGGAGGTCTGCGAGTGGGTCGGTGGGTTGCAGCTGCGTCTGGTTTTTGCAAAAGAACCTGTCGGGCAGGTGCTGTCTTCCACCTCCCCCCTCCTCAACACTTAAAGGAGTTACTTGCAGTCCCAGAGTGACGGAAACCTGCAAACAGACACTCAATTTTCTATCTTCTTCTTTTTTGGATTCATTCTCACCTTCTTCTAATCCAACCCCCCATCAAAAATATGACAAAAAACCTTCCATTTTCTTTGGTTTGTTTTACAAGAGAAAAGTTTGTTTTCTAATGAGAATCTCATTATACCTCACGATTCCCGACCGCTTGTCACGCGAAACTGTCACCGGCGGCCATCATACAGCACACGGCTTTCCTTGTGTTAGTAGAGAAGTATTATCTTGTTGGAACGTGGCAATGTAGAGGTATATGTCTCACAAGCCTGTCAATACCGTCAGTGGCAGGGCCGTCTAGAACATTGCAACTTTCGCAGCCATTCTCTGGTCATGGCCAGAGCCTGACCATAATTCCCGCAATCTACCACGGCGACAACCACGTTTGGCGCAAAAGGCAAGAAGCGCCAGCACTCGAGTGAAGTCATGGATTACTGTGGCTGGCAAAAGCTAGGCCCCAGGCAGCCGGAGTGCTACATGACTCCTTCTACCGAGAACAAGGTCCAGCTAAGACAGACGGGAACTGGCGTGTCATACAAGACAATTTCTGTCTTATGCTTTCAGCACATCTTTTCAAGTTGGGAGCTATTGGAACAGGGAAGAGAGCCACAAGAGTGGTCCTGGGGCCAGAATTGCGGTGTGCTCAAGGGAGGAAGGTTTCGCTGCCGCGAGTTTCCGCCGTTGTTCTAGTTGGAGGAGGTTCCCGCAACCCGCGTCTTGCCAAGCGACTGTTGACAGTTTGTGTCGACGTCTCTAGCACGAGGAAACCAGTTTGTGATTCTCTTTGTCTGACGAGAAGCGGCACAGAGAGAAAGAAGGCATATGGTAGTTGCACCAGAGCCCGTCAACGACTGCATGGGTAAAGGCTTGGTTGGGTACCAATTGCCTCAACTCCTGTCCGAATACCGCGTGTGCGGCTATGTTCCTTCTCCATGAACTATCTGCTCCTTCTCAAAGACGTTTCGGAGAGATTTGGCCCGCAACTCCCGGCTCCGAGATCTCTGACATCTCCCCGCCCTCCTGATTGGCTCTAGACCCCTCCGTCGTCAAGCGAGACAAGCGTCATGCTTCTTTCCCTCCCTTTCGATTTCAACGACACTCCTCAGGTTTTCGATTTGCTTGCGCGAGATCTTGCCACTCCATTGTAACACCCTGACGCAGCAGGACGGGGCAGTCCATAACAGGCCGTCCGCCAGTGGGCCGGGCCAACTAACTCCCTTACTCAACCAAACATCTTCTTGGGGGGTTACGACACCAGAGACATACATCACGGCATGACACGACACGGCAGCCTACTCATGTCGCTTGCTGCTTTTGACGCTGCTTTTGACGCTGCTGTCACCCATCCGATCTTCTGGTGGCACAGATCTCCAGCGAAAGTTGTCCTTGTCCCGGGCGCGCATGCTCGTCTCGGCAACAAAAGATGCCGGGATAATCCATTTTCGGCCATATACCAGTGAAACAAGCGGTTCCCGATCGCTGACAGACCGCTTGTTCTGTCACCACGCTGGTGGTGGCAGCTGCGGCGGCGGCGTGGAGCGATGGACTCGGGCGAGTGGGAAAGATATTGCCTGTTTACCCTCCAATGTTACCGAACGGCCACAGAAGGAAGGTAGGAAGAAAGGGAAAGACGATGGCAGAATGGGTGAGAGGCACTGGACACGCGCGGAATGGAGTTTATTGACCCGGGTTGAGTTTTGGGATTCATCTCTCACCCTGTTCTGACCTCCACCTCCACCTCAGGCGGCACCTCAAGGAAAACGACAAAGCGGTATGATCTGGAGTAAGCAACAAGAATCCCATTCCATCAGACCCAAAATCATCCATCCATCCACCCAGAGTACTGTCTGAACACAGGCTGGCCTTTTTCTATGTCTCTTCCCCCCGCCCCCGGCTCGTCTCTGCTTGATGACAACCTTGTTGGACAATGTGTGAGAAACAGACGGGCAGCAGGAAGGTACCACGAGATACATCTGTTCAAGATAACTGTCAGATTGTGCCGGCGAGGCAGCTGAGGCAGACAGGTAGACAGGACTCCTAACTGATTGGCCGACTGACTGAGTGACTGACTGAGAGTTTGCGGTAAGCAGTCATGGCAGTCAAGTCAAGCTAGTCAGTCACTCTCGACTCTCACAAGATCCCAAACCTTGGCTGACAGAGAATTCCCGAGCTTTGACTTGCCTGGACTTGACTTTCCCTGTCTTGAATGGCAGCACAAGAGTTCTGATATGGTAATATGACCTGAACTGTATCGACATTACGAAAGGTACAAAATGCAGAGCAGGCGACGCAGAAGGAGTGCCTCGACACAACTGCAGCTGCAAAACGACAGCTTAAGTGTCCGCGTGATCCTTTTGGTGTTCCTTGCATTCCGGTACCCTTTGCTATCTGGTGTTTGTGGAAAAAGGGAGGGGCCGACAAAACCAAATGGACAATGCATTCTTGTCGCTGCCGGTTGTCGCTGCTGTTACCATCTGTGAAAAGTCAGTGACCCTCCTTCACTTACTCACTCACTCACAGAACGTTTCGGATCCTTGACCGCCTCTCTTTCGGTACATGACAGGCATCTGATTGTTGTTGTGCTGTGTTTCCTCAAGGTTGCGCTGGCCTGATGGCCTCTTGGCCTCTCATATTTCAATCTATGCTGTGTCTCGTATGGCTTTATCGTCCTGCATTTTCGGATCTGCCCTCGTACTCCAACCGCTGGCATAATGGGCCATTGCTGAAATCTGGTTGTGTCAAGTGTGAGGGCGTGCGTGTTACCAATACCCGATAGACAAGAGGGCTGGAGGGTTATCTGCCTGCCAGACATGCAACTTTGACATGGATACCCCTTTTCTAAGGTCTGCCTCTGAAGAAACCCTCGGAGGAGGAGAAGGAGAGCGATAATGAGGAAGCATGGTTTATGTAGGGTGTCATATCATGTACAGGGACGGCAGACCGACATGTGCCTGGCGAGTTTCGCGGCTTTTGGTTGGATGAGAGAGGTAGGGGTATGGGTGAACAGGAGGCATTATTCGGTGAAACCGAGGACAAGAACAAGAGAAAAAAAATTTCAAGCAAGGAACAATTCCCAAAAGAATAAGATAAAGTGACGTGAGTGAAGGTTGCTTTCTTGGAGGCTCTATCACCCGATTTATTGATGGTGAACGTTGCGGATTGGTGAATGGTGTTGTGTGAACGGACATTGTTATACAGATACACTCTGTACAAAGTGAAGCTCGCTGGAAGCCTGACGATTCGTGCATATAGGGTGTTTCTTGTACGGAAACTGGGAAACGTCCGGGCGTACAACGAACCAAGCCGGCGCGACTAACGCGGAGTAGTGGAGCACATCATTTGCTCTCTATAGGCTATAACGTAAGCCCTAATTGGCAACAAGATCCGGTATAGTGTAACGGTTAACATATCGCGTTTTCACCGCGAAGCTCGGGGTTCGATTCCCCGTACCGGAGTTCTCTTTTTTCGTTTTGTCATTTCTCTCACGAACTCTCATCTCCGGCCCATTACCTAGGGAGAATCTCCCGGGTTTCTTTTTGTTTTTTTCTTCTACTTTTTTTTTTTTTTTTTCATGGTTGAATTAGCATCAGGCTTACATCATGCCATGAAAGCTATGTGCAAATGTCCAGTTGTTCGTTCATCTTGGTCTCATCAAAGTTAGTGCTAACGAAAACGATGTATATGAAATACGAACTTGATGAAACGAAAACACAGGTTTATTAAGACATAGGAAACTGGTCGCGATTAAGCCCGCGACTTGTAATAAATGTCAAGATAATATTACCATGTAGTAGGAAGGAGGAAGAAAATAACACTGGCTCCTAGACAAAACATTACTGTTATTTTGGAATCCGCCCCTGTGCCTTCATGCCCCTTTCTCATCATGCGATATTTTCGAGTCCTTGGACTAGCGAACGTAAGAGACATTGATCTTGATACACAAACTGACAAGACAGCATGGGACCTGGAAACGAAATCGACAGAAACCGAAAGAAAATGTATTACGCCCTTTTTCATGACCATTTTACCGTGTAGCTACCTCGAAGCTATACAAATTATCAAAAGCAGATCGACAATGCGAAGTGAACGGTGAACACTTCTTCTCCCTTAAACTCCTTTTACGCATTCTCATAACTTTGTCCACACGCCCCCTTGGCGTTTTACTCTTCGTCATCATTGGCGGCGGCCTTGGCAGGAGAAGCTGCAGGCGAGCCAGCCGCCTCCTTTACTTCGTCCTTATCACCACCCTCTTCCGCATCTGCCTCAGCGGCTGCTCCACTCTCATCCTCGTCTTCATCGTCATCGTCATCCAGGATCCTGCCTCTCCTCGATCGCTTGTTCTGGCGTCTTGTTGAGACTGTGGCCTCTTCCTCCTCATCATCACCACCAACATCGGCCTTGGAGTCATCGATTTCCATCCGATCGACACTCTCCTCTGACCGGCTCCTGCCCCTCCTGGATTGCTCATCCTCGTCATCATCGTACTCCCCACCACTACGGGGAGAATGGCTGCGTTTCTGCTTCTTCTCAAGGGCCCTCTCAGCCCTCTCGAGAGCATCCATCTCCATACCAGGCTCGTCGCTCTCATCACTATCAACCACAATTTCGGCACTCTTGTACTTGCCAGTGGGCTCAGTCTTCCTGCTGGTAAGCCTCTGCTTCTTCTTGGGTGGTCTGCTCTTCCTGCCGCCCTCTTCGGCATCCGAGCCTGAGCCGTCACTATCGTCGTTGTCTCGGTCCCTCCGGCTCGTCTTCTTCTTCCTCTGAGCACGGCCCTTCCGCTCCCGCTCCTCGCCACCTCTCTCGCGCTTGGCAGGCGTGCTGCTGGCCTTCTTAATCTTTTGTCTCTTGATCTTTTCGCCGGTCTCGCTGTCGGTGGTCATCTCGGCCTCCCTACGCTGTCGGTCTTCCTCGGCTCTCTGCTCAGCTAACTTGCGGTCACGGGCGGCGATCTCCTCTCTCTCGCGCTTGATCTTCTCTTGGCGCTCGCGCTCCTCTTCCTCTTTCCTGCGAATCTCTTCCTCCTTCTTCTTGAGTGCTACTTGTCTCTGCTCAAGTGCTAGTTGGAGCTTCTCCTTGTTCTTTGACTCGTAGTCCCGCTGGGAGGCGAGGGCACGCTCGAGCTGTTTACGTTGAGTGTTACGAGCCATGTTGGCACGCTGCTCGATATCATGCTTTGGATAAGGTGGATGGTCCGAGGCCGCGATCTCATCGAGGGCGGTGATAGCGGACTCGAGACCAGAGGCAGCTTCCTCGAGTTGGGTAGAGGTACGCTGGTGCTCAGGCAGACCGTTGATGAACGAGGCGAGCTGGATCTGCACAAAAGCAACGTTGAACTTGAAGTGGACCTGCTCAGGGGCAACTTCTAGGGTCTGGAAAAGGCGTTAGTCACTGCCTTCAACTTTGGTGTTGGAATCAACGTACCTTCTGCGCATACTCCAATGCTGTCTTGTAAGCGTCCAGGTTACGCTCAGCGCGGCCCTTGTTCAGCCACGTACGACCAAGGCATGAGAGAATGTTGGCATCCTTTGCCTTGCCCTCCTTGCCAAGCGCGATCTCGTAGCTTTCGATAGCCTTGGTGAACTGCTTCAACTCGGCGTAAATGTGGCCCAAGTTGACAAAGACGTGGACGTCCTTGATGGTCTCGCGAACCTTGATGAAGATCTGCAATGCCCCCTTGTAGTCCTTCTTGTCCTCCACGAGTGCAATAGCAATTCCCTGGGCTGCGTATGCGTTCTTGGGATCCAACTGGAGTGCCTTGTCGAAGAACTCAACAGCACGGCTATAGGCGGCACTCCGCTTCTGCCTGTCTGCCTCCGACTCGCGACGCATTTCCCTAGCAGAAATAAGGTGTAGATTGCCCATGCCAACGAGAGCATAGCGGTCATGCTTATCATAGTTCTGCAGGGTGTGCTTGTAATGGCGTTGCTCTGGGTCTTCGGCGATGTTGTTGGGTCGCTTCCTGGAGCTAAGCTTCCCGAGAAACCAGCCGTACAGAGCACGCACCTCAAGGTCGGAAGAGTTCTCTTGATACAACTTGGCGACTGCATCCGGGCCTTCCTTGGTGCCGGGGTTATTCCGAAGCTTGATGTAGGCCAACCTGATACGAGCATCAGTGTAGTCATCGTGGCGTTTCAGCAAGCCCTCATACACCTCAACGGCCTTCTCAGACATGCCACGAGCCTCGTAACTACGGCCAAGATTGAAGCTGATGGTGGTAACCAAGGCGTCGGTGTCAGTGTCATCGTCCGTCTCACCAATTCTCATGCAAGAGCTGAGTGCAGCCTCAAACAGTTCGCTCGCAAGCTCGTGCTTTTCTTCCTGGTAGTAGAAGCAGCCGATGTTATTCAACAGCTGCGGCGGGAGAAACCTCCGGAGCGCAGCCTTGATAGCGGCTTCGCCCTCAACTTCATCCGGGCGCTCTGACTGGGGAACCTGGTCAAGCTCCAGCTGCTCGACTTGCTGAAGGCACTGGAGGGCCTTGTCGGGGTTCTCGGTCTCATAGAGACGGGCTAGGTTAAGAAGCACAGCGGCATCTGGCGCGAGGCTTTTCTTAGGATCCTTCCACGCCGTCCGCACGCTCTCCAGCAGGCCGATGGCCTTCTTTGCCTCGGCGGACTTATCCTCCTTGACCGGGGCAAACTGGTTGGCGAAAACCTCCTCGGCATACAAGTTGCCGAGCAGGATCATGGCTTCATAGTTCTTAGACTGTTGAATCATCTTCTCGAGGCGAAGTTTGGCTTCACCTAGGTCGTTCTTGATGACGGACAGCTGCGCCGCACCGAACTTGGCCGGCAGGTAGCCGCGTTCAGTGCCACCTCGGGCGTCATCCGCACGACGGTAGTAATCGGCGGCACGTTCGAGGTTATTGGCGTAATGTTCTTTGCGCGCGAGCAGGTACCAACCATCGCTCGCAATGGCGTTGACGTCAGTAAACTGTATGGCCTTGTGGGCAAGAGCTTCCACATGATCGAATTGCTTCCGCGAAAGGAAATAGCTGGCAAATGTGGCACATGTGAGGGGAAGATCTTTGTCAAGCTTGTAGGACTTTTGTGTGTACTCGGTCATAGCCTTCTTGTACAGCTTGATGAATTCCGGGCTATTGATGGGGACGTGTCCGCTCGCGTCGAGGTAGTAAAGACCTAGCAGAATGTTGCCGACCTTGGACTCAGCATTGATCTCGAGAGCTCGTTCCCAGGCAATCCTGGCGTCATCCTTGTATCCTAATTGCCAGAAGCAGCAGCCAATGCCAATTCGCGGGTCGGGGTCGACGAGATCTGGGGCTCTGGCTAGGGCGTCCTGATAGGCGACCAAGGCGTCGGCATATCTGCCAAGCGAGAAGAGTGCGCGGGCCTTGCCAATAACGGCAAGCATGTTCTTGCCGCTGGAAACTCGGAGGGCATCGTCGAAAGATTTAAGGGCGGCGCGCAGGGTTTCGGTCTTTTCGGGGTCGACTGCTCCGGGAGCCTTTGATGGTGGCTGGAGGGATGCCCTCAGAAGCTGGAGGACACCACGAGCCAGGAAGAGCGGAGGGAACGCTGGGTTGATGCGTGAAGCTTCGTTGAGGCTCTGGGTAGCGAGCTGGAGGTAGTATTCCTTGGTCTTTGCTTCGGAGACAAGGGCGCCCTCGGGGGCTACCCTGGGTGCCTCCCTGCTCTTCCACAAATACATCCAGCAGAGAGCTGAGACGATACTGAGCTTCTCCCTGGGGTTGTTGGCCTGCATGGCGTTGGCTCCTTTAATGAGCATCTCGATGGCGAAGTCGATCTTTTTCTGCTTGGCGTAGGCAAGGGACACTGTCATCCAATATGTCCGGGCGGCGCCTTCCATCTCGAAAAGGGTGCAGAGCTCGGTCGGGTCATCGGCGAGGACTTCAAGGTCGATTTCGACAGCTTCGTCATCTTGGTCTTGGACGGGAATGTCGATGGTAGAGGGGATGTCGGTGAAGCGCTTGCTCTTGGGAAAGCTATTAGAGCCTCCCACGGACGAGGCAGGAGAGACACCACGGCCGTTGGCGGCAGCGCCATTAAGGGCAGCTGAGACCATTGTGAATCACTGGTGAGGATTGTTGGTGCCGCGCAGCTTGGGGATATTATAAACGGACAGGGGCGCGGGAGAGGGTGACGAGTCGCCGAAGTGATCCCGCTCGCAGCCGTGCCCGAGCTTGGTAATCGGTAGCCTTGGGAGTTGAACGGGTAGAGTCGCAGATATAATTGTATGCTCGAAATGTGATGACTGTTAGCAACGGTTTAGGAGGGGTCACGGTGCATTGCGCTTCTGTGCAGGCGACGAGTTGGCGAAAGCAGCCGAGGCGGAAGGAAGAAAAACTGAAGGCAAGGTAACAAAAGTTTCGTAGCTGAGCGCTTGTATCAATGGGGGGAATGCCGTGTGTGCTGGGCTCGTACTTCAGTGAATTCCCGTAAGTCGATGTGTCGGAATGGTTCGGCCTTGGATAATGGTGGGTGGTTGATGGGAGCTGAGATGGCACTCAGGAAGAGCCCGGTGCACGTCGCGTTTGTGTCGCTGGAAGTGGAACCAAGTCGAGAACCGGATCCCGCTGATCAAGATGCGTCCAGGTCCCGGCAGAGAGACCCACCCCGTACCGTCGCGGCAGGCTATGCATGTAGCTTGCCCCACCGATGATGACCTTTTCTTTCTGTGCAAGTATCCAGTGTCAGCACCACTATCACGAGTGAGTCTGTCAAGTGACAACTGCGAGCACCAGTTTGTTCGTTTAACGCCTCTAAACATCACAACCAGTCTTGCCACCGAGACTGATGAACGAGCGCACAGCCAGATTCGAGGAGGCTGAAGACTACAAGTGAATACATACACTATTCCGAACGACAGGGAACCCGTGCACGCCCACTCTTTTGCCCCTGGTTAACGACTTTGATTGGCTGGTCAAAGCTGAGAACAAACAACCTCCGCCAAGACAAACCTCTTCGCCAATAAGAAACCCCTGAATAACCTCACATGCATTGAGGGAGAGAAGGGGGGGGGGGGGGGGGCTACATACGTACACGACCAAGCGAATTTCAAATACATAGATGCAGGAGAGAACTCAAGGAGGCGCAGTAGTAGATAGATGGACAGATGGATATGAAGAGGTAGGAGAAGATTGGAAAGTTTGGGCAATCTGAGAAAGGGGGAGAAGAATACCAGATATCCTTGTGGACGACGGAAACGGAATGAAAAGAGAGCTATTATGCGTGTTCTAATGGTGAGTATGCGTTCTACTTTTACCGGGTGGCATATCACCTCTACTAGTAGTCGGCCCGGGCCGCGTAAGGCTGAATGTGTATTGTCATGCCACGCAGCAGAACCAGGTCGTTTGCCGGTCTTCAATGGGTAGGATTTGCTACAAGTGCTCCTTGCTCATACATGCAAGAAAGAATATGTAGACGTAGCCTTTGATATGTTATGACACTTGTAAACCGGCGCAGTTGATGCGACGGGCAACTTAAAACACGCCTATCAAATTCCAGTGCACGGTCAACTCAGGCTTTGTATACTGTGAACTTGTCCATGGCAATCATCAAACGTAAGAATGGTAGCCAAGTAACAAAGTAAGTGTCTCAGGCACTGCACGGGCTTTTGACAGAAAAACATGGGTAGAGATCGGAAAATAACTAGGTGGGGATTCGAAAGTAAGCCAACACTCTCAGAGGAAACAAACCAACGAAGGAGAGACAAATCCGGGATTACTGTCATCGGACATTCGAATCTTCAGTATCAAAATGGGCAACTGTATACACTCGTACTACAGCAGTCAAACAAGTGCGCTCCTCTCTTCATCCACATTCACCGGTTAACCCCCTAACGAACAGGTCAACACGTGAAGAAGATCGAGACCGGTACACGCCGTATCTACATCTTTAAACGACAATCCACAAAAGATATGGAGTTTCTTGAGGATATGTTAATGTATAGAATTATATTCCACTTCCGAGCGAGTTCGGATCTTGGGTGTTTCGTTAAGTAGCATTGTCGAGTTCATGTTGCCAACAAAAACTTGGTGGACTTGGGAGACATTGGCGCAGGTAGCCGAAGAAGTTCCACCGTTTGTTTGACAAACTTCCACAAACTTGCCCCAATTGATGTGCCTCCTAGACGGGCAAGTGTGCCAACTCTTTGATGCCCGCAAAGTGAATGCCAACCCTCACATGCTAGAGAAGATGAAGAAAACCACAAACATCGCCAAATCGCAGTTCGGCACCGAAAGAGAAAATCGCGTTTTGTCGATATATGAGATAGAAAAGTTGGCAATGGAAAATCAACAGCAATAATACACGCTCATCAACGCAGACCAATCAGCTAACCAATCCAGCCAACTCATCTTTCGGCGCTCCGCCCGTCGCCCAACGAGTAAGATGATAAACAAACTCAAAAGTAAAAGACCATGAGAGAATATGGTTACCCATTGAAATGATAGTAATAGCCAACACTCCTTGTGGGAGACATGAAGAAAGATATAAAGCCAAGGACTACCCGCAGTCTCCCACCGTTTTCCAGTTTAGTCCAGTCCAAACCATTCAGATCAGCATTCATCAACCACATTTCCAGAACGAACAAGTCATACAGTTGCACTCACGATCACAAAGAGAGAAGCAGAAATCAGAAAACAACCTGCCGCCATCTTCTTCTCAAAAAGTTACACACCACAGACTCCTCCCAACGCCATCAAAATGAAGCTGTGCGCTCACGCCAACAGGTCATGCCTCTGCACGAACTCTGTCGAAGATGGCAAAACGCTCTGTTCCCATTGTGATGCAGGTGGCTGTGGTGTTCTTTGAGCTGAGAGTCACGGGAATCGAAATTCAGATTCGAAGGAGAGTTGTGGAGTGGGAGGACTCTGCGATAAAGGAGGGAGGCTTTTTCCGGAACATATGGGGCAGAGTGATGGAATGGGAGTTGTAAAGCGGCTTTTTGGTGGTTCGGGCAGGGAAGAAGAGTTAGAAGGTATACCATGATAGAGGAGGTATTTGAGGTTGGAAAAGGATCAATGCTTATTACGAGTAGAAGGCATAGCCAAAAAGCATCATAGAAAAATTTCATCGATTTACCTCCCGCGTCGCGCAAAACCACACACCCTTTCCCACCCCTCAACATCAAGAACATAAACCCATATCACTGATACCCGAATTCATCATCATTTGTTTCTCCAATCGAAGAGAGAAGGAGTAAAAAGTTCAGTCGCCCAGGAGGCCTAGGAGAACGGACCACCATGCACCAACTGTCAACCTACGGAAACTGGAATTCGGGGCGCCACGCTCACCGGCAATATTTCGATCAACGGGAACCACTAAGCCATAAGATCAGACCACAGTGCCGGCCCGTTGTGGTAGAGGGCTATGTACCGGGCCTTATATACCCGTTGATATATTTGGGCCAGGTTCAGATTCTCCGGCGGCGGCGCGGGGTGGAGAGTTCAAGTCGTTTCGACATTTGGAAGAAAGGGGGTCGGCTGGGCGCCAGCGAAGGCAGGAGCGGTGGCAGATACCTGGTACTGTACGAAGCCTCTACGCATTCTGGACTTCGTTGTTAATGAGAATGGCTTTGGGGGTTTAGGTCACCCTCTCTATCACTTGACTTATAATCTTGCCCTGGTGATACCTTGCACCAAAATTGTAGCTTTTGCCTCTTGAGAAGCCACCTAGCCTCCCACGCCTTCTATGGGCACAACAACTCCTCACCACCTCCCCCCACCATTACTCAACCCTCTCACTCCTCCAACCTTGTCCGCCATCCTGCTCAATCTCCCCATCCTCGACATCCCATAGACCCCTAACCCCCTCAACCTCAACCCCGCCTCGACGACCTCATTCAAACAACCCGCCCCCCTCTCTTTGACACACTTCCCCTTCCTTTTCACCACACCCCCTCCTCCCTGACCATCATCCGCCACCTCGTTGTCGCAACAACTGCCCACCAGGCACCTGAAACCTTCCCCGGTCTGCCCTGATGCTGGCGTCAGGCACTCGGCGTTGGTATCGCAGCCGATCTCGTTCTGGCACCAGTCATCTAGCGAGCAGAAGGCTTGGCCGTCCGGGTCGAGGCCGCAGAGACAATCACCCAAGGGGGCGGAAGGGCAGGGGGTGAATGTGTAGGTGCCGCAGGTGCCGGGAGTGCAGGAGGCGGAAGGGGTTGGGGTAGTGATGGACGTTGTGGTGACTGTGAGGGTTGAAGTTGTTGTTATTGTGGATGGGGGAAGGGTGGTTTTGATGATCATCGTGTGGCAGATTAACGAGGTGAGATAGGGATGAGTTGTGTTGGATGATATTGAAATGGTGTTGTTGGTGGTTGGGTAGGGAATTTCGGTTGACGTGGACGGATGGCTTGGGAGATCCGAGTGGTTATGTGCCCATCGAGGCTGGTTTTGGGCAGATGATTCGGCGCTTGTTGACTTTCCAGTGATGGACAGCATGGCCGTGATAGTGATTGTTATTGTGGACGTGGTGTAGGATGTCTGGTTACTGGATGCATCAGAACAAGTTAGCCCCATGAACTAAAGTATGGCCATAAAGGTGGTTGGGAAGAGAGAGAGAGAGAAAAAACAAAAAAAAAAAAAAAGGGGGGGGGGGGAGGGAGGGGGCATCAGCAAAGGGTTAATTGCCTTGGATTTGGAGTAAGGGTAGTGAAGACCGTTGTTGTGCAGTTCTGATGATTATGTACGTCTTCGATAGTCGAAGTCGTGGTGGCATGGTCAGCAAGAGACAAAGCCGCGAGGGCCCAAAGCATGGCCAAGGCTTGCTTCATGATGTTTGATGTCCAACGTAGACAACAAGGCTGGCTTAGACAGCTCTTCCACAGACAAGACAGTAGAGAACACGGGCTGATTCAGTCTTATAGGGAACAGAAAGGGGGGAAACTCGGAAGGCTCAAGAATTCTTTACATCAAACACTAGTATATACCCTCTGCAGAACACAACAGTGGCGCGGCAAGTTGTCGGGCTTTCTATCGGCGAGTTTCTCGGAGACCGACACAATACTTGATATGGTGCTGAAGTTCGGGGTTGGAGAGAAGCAAGGGTTGTCAGCCACTTGAAGCTAATCCTGGGTTGTGTAACTGATCGGAACGAACTCGTGCAGGGACCTGTTGAGCTGAAGGCATGTTTGTGGTAATCGTAAATGGGTATCATAAGTTAGCCCAGCCTTCGCAGGCCAGGTATTGAATATATCCTAGTCCTCCTCGAAGAAGCCTCCGTCGTCGCTCTCGCTCGCGCTCTCCTCCTCCGTCTTGCCGTATTTGCCCTTGGCTGGGCGCTCCTCGCTCTGTGACGAAGACTTATTGGCTGTCTTTTTGGAAGTGGGTTTCGAAAAGTCGCGTTCCGGTCGTCTGTCGCGAATCTTCTCCAGAGCGCTCTTACCCTCTTGGCGGGCCTTTTCGATGGTGGTCCACATTGGGGGTCTTGAGGAGTGAAGGTGGTGTGCGGCTGAACTCTTCTCGTCCTTCTCTGCGGCTTCGTCCTTGGGCTTGGGGTACAAGCTGATGTAGGTCTCCATGTGAGGGTGGTAGAGAGCATAATCGAGGTCGACCTCGGCAATGTGGAGGTCGGCTTTTAGCCTGGCGATCTCGGCTTCGTCTTTGGTTTCGTCGAGTTGCTTCATCAGCTGCTTTGCGAGGCGCATGGCCTTCTTGCGCTCTGTTTCGTGAAGGTCTGGGTCAGCGATGCGATACGTGCAGGCCTCCAAAACTTGGACCACATACCAAAGAACCTGACCATATGGTACTTGCTGATCATCTTGCTTCTCAACTTCCTGTCACTCTCGTCGGCAATCCTCTGCTTGTGGGCTTGCAGTTCGCGCTCGAGGTCGTTCCTGACATTGGCAGGCAGCTTTTCGTTCTTGTGTTCGAGAAGGCGCTCAATTGCTCTGACACGCTTCTTGATCTGACTAAGGTTGCCATCGTTGATCTTCTGGGTGGTCTTCTGGCGCTTTGCAATGTTCTTGGGGTTGAACCTGTTGTGCGGGTTTCTGTTTCTTTTCTGGGGCTGGTTTTGCTCCTGGCCATCGGCGTTCGACCCCTCGGCCTCTTCATACGATCGCTTTCCCATTTCTGCGGCGCGCTGGGGTGATATGTTCAGAAGATAGAATGATTTCTTTGGTGATGGTGGCGGCGGTAAGGTGCAATCTGGAACGGGCAATGGGTCGTTGTCGCGATGGTTCGTCTTGTGTTTCTTTCAATTCGAGAAAATTAAGTGGAGCCTCGCCGAAAGAATGGACGGGAGCAAAGAGCTGCCAGTGAAACCCCTGCAGCCCCTGCTATCGGCCTGCAGGGGGCGCTGGCTCACTGCAATACACACATACCTACTATGTATGGTAGGTGACAGAGTGCAGTTTGTGATTTGGGTTAGGGTTAGGTAGCACCCATCAGTAAACGGGACTTTCAAGTCTCCAACCGGGCAGCCAACACGGCAGCGCGGCTTCAGGTTTCCTCTATCATGGAAAGTCTCGTCTCCCTTCCCTACGTCCGCCTTCAACAACCACAGCATGAAGCTGTAGTCAAACGGTAGTTTGATCGATTTCTTTACTCTTCATGAACTTTCATGAGCATGGTTTTGATAGTTGATATCTTTACCTCTTCGGAGCGGGATTCATGAAGCACGGGCGATCAAAGGTCATCTGGCCGAGAAGGAGCGCTGAGGAGCGTTTGGATCTCCTAACCTACAGTACTAAGTACCTGCTCAACAAATTCATCTTCTCATCATAAGTACTTAAGCTCTCACTTGAAGCCGCGGTAGCGAATGAAGGGCCCTTCTACATCATCTTACTCCATCACATAACTTTATACTAACCAGGGCACAACGACATCACGCCAACTCGCCAGGATGGATCGCCCAGAGCCGGGTCTCATCAGGTGGTCCCCGAACGCGGGGCGCGACCTCTTTCTTCACATCAACCTCCAGCACCACGTTGTGCAGCTCCATGAGCCGACAGGCTTCGCCCGGAAAGGCAAATTCGAGTCGAGGACGCTCGGCAAATATGACGAACTACCCCCTCTCACCACCTTTGACTGGTCCCCCTCCGTGCCCGGCCTGGTCGCCGTGGGCACCTCGACCGGCGTTGTCAATATCTTGCGCGTCGACGACAACTCAAACGCAGTCTTGGATCTCAATCTCAAAATGTCCCGTACCTGTCAAGCTGTCGCCTTTAGTACCGCTGGAAAGCTTGCTGTTGCCCTGGACAGAGTGAGAAGTGATAACTGCCTTTACATTTGGGACGTCAACCGGCTATCGACCATGGATACCAACGCGCATGGGTTCAGCAGTGTAGTACCCTTTACCGATCCCATAGATCGTCTTGAGCCCAGTGTGTCAGTATCCAGCGTTAGGTTCTTCGAGGACAACCCCAATGTCCTCGTGGCCGGTATCAAGGGCCAGGGTCTCCGGATACATGATCTAAGAGGTAGCGTCCGAGTTCACAGTCAAGCCTTCTTTTCACAAAGTGCGAGCTGACCTGTCTTCCAGAACAAAGCCACAGCTCGGTCGTTCATTTCCCCACCAAATGTTGCAACAACCTTGCTATTGACTACGCAGACCAGAATTACTTTGCCTCCTCGGCCTTGGACCAGCCGGGTGTCATGGTTTGGGACCGACGTGCAACCCACCGCCAGGTTGCAAGGCCCTCGTACAACGAGGCCGTTAAGGACGACGACTTACCCTGGGGCGGAGCCTTGCGTCTGGAAAAAGCGGTGCGCGTCCTTACTCAGGATCCGGCCCAGGACACCAACACCTCCTACATCCGTTCCATTCGTTTTTGTCGAGACAAGCCCGGTATGCTAGGCGTGCTATCACGGGCCGGCCAGCTCCGAATCTTGGACACGAGACATGAATATGTGGAGCCTAGTGACCAGTTTGAGAACAGCCCGGAGCTACTCGAGGTAGCCAGATCGTACGAGATGGACCCTTTCTATCTGGACAACACCCGCCACAAGCACGAGAAAATTGTCTCCTTTGACTGGATCACAATGCCTTCACCCATTGCCCAAGCCAGAATGCTTGTCTTGAGGAAAAATGGCAATTTCGATGTATTGGAGAAACCGTCCTTTACGTCCGAGTACCCGTTTAAGCTTATCCCGTGGCAAGCACCCCACCGAGGACTGGAAGGTAAAGAACCACCTGAAGATTCGTCCTACCCTTGGCTCCCGGGCGAACAAAAAACTCACAATGTTCTAGAAAGGATATCTTATCATCAAACCATGGACTTCGAGATTCCTCAAACGCAGGAAATCCTGGGACCCTTCTTGACCGAGAAGGCGTTGGCAAATAAGCAGCTATTCGGGCCAGACAAGGCAAACCTTACTGCGGTTGTTGAAGACGCCATGCAGTCGGACGTGTACACTGACCTGATAGGCCCGGACGGTTTTAACAGGATTAGCGATTTGAAGTTCCCCGAGGGGTATTCTACGACCGCGCCGATTGCCGAGAAGTTGGCGGCCCTGAGGATGACGGTCGGAGGAAGGTCACCAAACGGCTTGAACACGCGAGGTGAACCGTTAGGACAATTGGAGCGCCATGAGAACTTGCTAATGAAACTCATGGATCGAAGCAACTTTCCTAGAGAGGCACAAGTGATTCTCGACCATACCATGATCTTCCGTGCAAAGGAAGGGTATCTATTCAACTATAGAAGAAACCAGCAGATCGTAGCCGATGACCCATGGCTTCAAGATATGTGGGCTTGGATTACAGGTAAATTCATTCTCAGCCCCAAGCCAACGCTGCTGGGTTTCTAACGGAGTCGTGTCTGCGACAGGAGCCGACGAAGCAGCTTCAGATGGCGGGATGATGTCTCATCCTCTTGATTTGAGCTATATGGGAGTGTACACATTGTGGACAAACGATCTTGGTAAGTCCTAATTTATACTTCTCTCTGCTTATCACTACTTTGACACGGAAATAGGGAGCAAACCTCAAGCAAGGCTATCAGACCACTCACATGCTCCTGACCAAGCTGGTTGGGAGCGTTGCTTGAACGCCATCAACAAGAAATTGGGGCTCCCAAAGTTTGACGGCGTCGATACGAAGCGTCCCCACCATCGCGAAATGTGTCTCGAGATGTGCAAATGGGGTCGAAACTATGATGCAGATTTGATCGATGGACAATCTACCTCCAGCCTGAGCAAAGACGCCTCAGTATGGCACACAATGGCGGCTGCTCAAGCCCTCTTCAGAGGCGATACTAGGGGCGCTGTGCAAGTCCTCAAGCAAGCCAGCACCGATCATCCTGAACTCCTCTTTGTCTCTCTCGCACTGCAGCTCGTAGGAAACGTCACGCAAGAGGGAGACAGAATGAACAAGAACAACGCTGTCAAGGAAGCGCTCGACTTTGACGAACGCGTGGCCTCCAAAACCGACCCCTATTTGCGCGCAATCTCATCCATTATCGCCACGGGTGACTGGCTGACCATTGCCAACCAACGCTCTCTCCCTCTCCGAGATCGCGTGTACGTCGCCGTGCGCTATCTCCCCGACGACGCCCTGACAGTTTGGCTCCGCGCCGAAACCGAAGCAGCCATGGAGGCCGGCAACATCGAAGGAATCGTGTTGACCGGCATCACGGACCCCCTCGTCGACATCCTCGCCCGCTACGTATCCAAGTTCGGTGACTTCCAGACCGCTACGCTCGCGCTATCCATCTGCTCACCGCGCTTCGTCGACGATGTGCGCGCCGCGGCCTTCCGCACCGCCTACCGCGCCTACCTTCAGCGGCACCACGCCTTCTTCCTCCGCGCCAAGTTTGACGTCGAGTCAACCAAGCGGAGCAAGCACCAAGGTCGCCCGACTCTCAGGCCTCCAGGTCGTCAGATCGCCCTGCGCTGCGTCTACTGCGATGCCTCGACGAGTCTCCACACTCACAACAATAGCTCCTCCAACAGCTCCAACACTAACGGCCACTTACCTGGAAACGCCTCCCCGTCTATACCAAGCTTTATGGTCCAACACGCTGCCGCCCAACAAGCCCAAGCCCAAGCCCAAGCCACCGCGGCCGCAGCGGCTGCAGCGCAGCAACAACCAATATCTGGAACCTCGGGTAGTGGTGGCGGAGGCGTAACCACGCCCAACATCCCGATTCCTCCCCCGCCTCCTCCGCCCGACGCCCTGCAGCTCCCGCCGGCGGCTGCGGCGGCGCAAAGCAGTAAGAACCCCTTCACGGAGAAGATGGTACAAGCGGGCATCTCCTGTCCGAACTGCAAGCGTCACCTGCCGCGGTGCGTCGTCTGTCTAGAAATCGTCGGCATGCCGCGCAGTGACTTATCGGGCTCTGGCGGTACGGAAGGGACGGGGACGATGGGTAGAGGAGGCCCAGGAGGATCAGGTACAGCTGCGGGAGGTGGTTACGGAGGAGGAGCAGGAATCCAAGCAGGTGGGACAATGGGTAGTCTTCATCACGGAGGCGATGATCATCATCAGATGTCGGCGGTGGACATGACGAATAAAATGGCGGCGAGGTTTCCGACATTTTGCTTGCAGTGTGAGCATGTCCTGCATTTAGATCATGCTAGGGAGTGGTTCGCTAGGCATCAGGAGTGTCCGGTGCCAGAGTGTAGGTGTAAGTGTAACTTTAGGGCGAATCCGGAGTTGAGGTATCGGTAGATGAGTGGGGAGGTGGAGGCTGGAGGGAGGGAATGAGGGAGGGAGGAAGGAAGGAAGGAAGGCTAAAGGGAGAGAAGGTAAAACGGGTCGGTTACATAAAGGGGATTCCACTGCTGGGTGATACACTGTAGTGAGGGCTCTGGTATGTAAGGGTGATTGTCATGTTGGCATCATACTTATAAGTATCGTAGCACTTAGCATATGGGCCGACACTTTCTTCACTCTACCCTCCTTCTTTACTTACCATCCGTATCCCTCACGCTCCCCTACCCTCCTTTCCTGATACGAGCCAAGTTGCCTTTGAACTTCTGTGGGTCTCTTGAACATCGGATGACTGTGAACTAAAATACCATACACAGCCAATCAACTGAACAGTAGAGACCTCTCCACGGGGTTTCTGACCTTACTAGTGTATGTGTATGTGATAATAATAAATATACGTTCATTGGGCCTCTTCGTTCTGCGAATACCGATTCCGTCACCGATGGACTCCGACTTGCACCCCTTTCGGTTTCTCTTCACTATGTATACACAAGCCAAGCAAGGCTCCGCCTCATACCAACTTGTTCTTGGTCTTCTTGGTCCTCTTGGTGTTCTTGGTAATTCTTGTAATAGTGTTGGAAAAGCCTTGGGACGTCTGTCTTGGTCGTCTTGGCTGTCTTGTGTGTTTTCTTGGTTGTCTTGTGTTTCCTTGGACACTCTCTGGGAAGCTTGGAGTTCTTGGCTTTCCTGGGCGGGCGGCTCGCAGGACTCAGTGAACAGTGATAAAGCAGTGTCACAAGCAAGCCAAGAGCTCTTTTTCCTGTTGTCATATCCGGCTTTCCCTTTCTTCCAGAAGTTCCTGGTGTTGCAATGGGAGGCTGGGCGCCAAGATGTCTTCTACCGTGTGGCTAAAGATGGACGGACGGGAGTGGCTTCAATGGTGGGCAGCGTGCTCGCAACCCTTCAAAGTTCAGAACACGCAATCTGTCACTTGCACTGCTCGCTCTCAATATATTTTGACACAACCGAGAAAGTCTTGGGTCATGACGATGAGAACGAAGAATCAGCCTAAGCCACAAAGAGCAAATAATATGTGAGCGTAAGAGATTGGAGAGGCGCCGGAGGAGGCTCCGCTGGTGGATGGCCGGGTGGACGCCTGTACCCATAATGCGTAGTGTACACCTCTGCAGGCATTTAAAAGGTTAGCGTGCTACAGCCAAGGCGCTAAACCCAGACAATAAACTAGGATTCTTACTATAGTAAATGCCTTATATTCTGTAGTCTAATAATCAATAGAATTACTATTAGCCTCAATAACCTTTCTCATCCTTTCCGGTATTGAATGGGCCAACTTTAAAAGAAACTCTTCTGGAATATTATTCCAAGCCTGCATTATAGCCTCCCTGAGCTTCTTTGGTGTTAATAATTGAATATTGCATTTTAACTCTACGAGTAATTTAATCTATGGTTAAACGTTTTCAATTGGTGCTAAATCCGGAGAATAAGTAGGGAACCTTTTTCTTACTTAAGAAATTAATCTCCATCCCTTTAATAGCTCTTTGGGTAGCTTTTGCTTTGTGAGAAGGAGTATTATTTTATTGGAAGATAATACCGGCTTTTGGATATTCCTGGGTAAAGGTAGTAACTATTGGGAGAATGAAAAAGATATACTTATAGGTAGTAACACCTCCAAACTCTTTGTCCCAAAGAAAATAAGGCTCTTTTTTTCCTCTAGCAAAGGATCCCTAGAGTATCTATCTGTAAGGCTTTCTCTTAGCTAAAGAGAAGTTATTAGGATCGTCTTCATCGTCTAAAGTGACCCATTATTTCTATATCAGATTATTAGTTGCCTAAGTCTCATTAGAGATGAGAATACCTTCCTAATTTCGAGGTATAGGCCACTGACGCTTTATTTTTTGATATTAATTAATTCTTTCTCTTTTATTAGTATTGATTCTCCTTATTCTTCTTCTTCTTGCTTTTCTTTTAAAACTAAGTGAATAAAGCGCCTTTCTCAATACTTTATCTCTAGTAGAAAGTAAAGGGGGGAGGATAAGAGGAAAGTTACTCTAAGAGATGAAATGGTAATTCTGATCTAATTTCATCTACTTTCTTAGGGCGTTCTTTTGAGGGATTTGGAGAAGGCTTTTTCTTGGTTTTCTCTTTTGAAGAGTGAGAGGTCCAACGTAGGTTTTTTGGACTTGACGGAAAGTGAAGCCAGTTTTTACAGAAATTTCGAGGTAGGATAAATTGGTGTAAGTTCGGAGGGAGTGAATAGAAACCTGGTCATCCCTCATTAATTGGGCGTTTTTCTTCTTCAGGGTGGAAGGAGGTTCCAATTCTATTATCATCGTAGTTTTTATTATTGCAAAGAAGATGAGAATGATGTGGTTGCCCATGCTCAAAGCCGGCTGCCAGAAGTCCCCCATTTTAATAAGAAAGTATTTCGCTACAGAAACTGGTAGCAGATATACCTCTACTCTACCATTGGTTACCCGGATAAGCCGGTCGCCACCATTGGTCGCCACCCCTGCAAATTCATTGCGCTAACCTTTTAAATGCCTGCAGAGGTGTAAATATCGAATCCACTAGCGAAGAATCCAGATCACGAACCTTTGTCCCAAGCTTGACAGGCGCGGCTTTGCGACTGCAGTCGGGGTGAGCACGTGTCTACCGTCTCCGGTGTCGAGTCGCTAGAGAGGCCCGGGGCCGTGGAGATTAGTTCTAGGCGCTGGAAATAGGTAGGATGTTCCGGGGCTGTTCTGAAAAGCAACCTTGGCGGATGGCAGCGCTTGGCATGGTCCTGGTCTCCGGCCCTGTCGACAGCCGATGTCCCTTTGGTGTTGACAGATTGGTTGTGTTGGAACGATGGCTTGGATCATCCACCAGTTGGACTGTACCTATCCCATGATTGGACCATCTTACTCTTCGATGGAAGGTTAGAGCTTGCCATAGATGGATTGTCTCGACGTTGAAAACGGGGCAGTTGTCGATGTCGCATATGCCATCTACAACCGCTATTCTAGTGTATACCTCCACCGTACGTACGTACCTGCCTTCCGTCATGCATTGTATCCATACTACCCTACATTGCGGTTGCCGAGAGATACCAAGTCGCCAAGTTGGCCAAGTAAAGACCAAGAACACCAAGAATGACCAAGCCCTTGGCTGACTTGGCAGTTCTCAGCGTGATCTTTTGGCTTCTGATGGAATACCTATGCCACTGTCTGCCGTTGTGCCATTGAATAACATTTGTTCACCTTCCTGCTGCCCCTTGTGAAAAGCCATCCCCAGAAAGCAGTTTGCTGGGCTTGGTCAATTATCGGGCAATTGGTCCCGTCCGATGGCAGTGGATTGCGGAACACAGCTCGGCGGCTTTCAATCCGCAGAGGCGGAAAACCTACAATCGGACATCCTCATCCGCCGTCAACCGACCATGACCAGGCCGCGGGGCCTTTCCCTTTGCAGTCTGGCAGTCAAAGAGTGCCCACCGCCCTCATGCGCGGGTGACTTTTACCCCGTACACTACTCCTGGCCATGATTGGGAGGGGGTGGAAATGGGTCAATGGGGTGGTAAATGGGTAAGAGGACAAAATTCACCAGACGGGGTTGACCAATCACACGAGCCAGCAGCCGGACGATGGCTCAACGGCCCCACCTGTAGCCACCCACCCACCCACCGCGATGAAGAGAGTGGGAGTCCACAAGCACATGCACGCTCAAAAACAGCCCAAAACACAAAAGGGACTTCCTACCTTGAATTTGGTCATGGGATCGAATAGATGTCGACAGACGGCATCGAAAAACCGTCTACCCAAGCGATCTTGAGCATTCAAAGCAAGCCCCAAAGCAGGAGAAACAGGATGGCGCCGAATCGAGACAGGCGACAGCCGTAGGAGCCAGTGAAGAGTCAACGACAAGTGTGACCACTTCACCAAGGGGGCAATGAGGGGAGACGAGACTGTGGAGGATCGCCAAGCCATTTTCTGTAATGCCAAGGCTTGGCACGGACTTGGCGTCTCTTGGCACTTAAGTCGCGCTGTTAGTGTCCCCGAGCGGCGCGATCCCTGTGGTTCAAGCTGGCCGGAGCTAGACAGCGCGTGCTGTGTGGCATCTTTCAGTGATCCCACCCCAGTTGCGCCTTCCATGTCCGCACCGGGACCCCTCTGCATCGACCAAAGGCACGCCACATTGCACCACAAACAGAGGGTACCTGTGCCGGATCACGCCTAATTGTATGGTCCAATTAGACGGGCTGAGCAGGCTTGGCGTCCGAGCCCGCGACCGCCAAGAGAGGCTGCCAAGTCTTTTTGCCAGTACCGCCAAGGAGCAAGGCCAGAATAAAGACAGTGAAGGCCCGCCTGTTGATCCAACGTGTTTTCCCTCTGCAAACATCTTAAATCAATCAAGACTTTGTGTTTGTTGGGTCTTTTTTTCCTCTTGCAACTTCGAACAGGCGACCTGAGCTTTTTGGCGATTCTTCCTGCGCGCGCATCAACCGACTGCAACTGGCACCCCATCCAATTGCAGGTACCGATAACCGATTTGTATCAGCAGCTTCCACCCAGGCTGACTTCCTATTGGAGTCGCCGGCAATTTTTTCTTGGCTTTTCTTGGTGGGGTCTCGTCTTGAACACCTCCCACGTCCCAGTCCCTCGTCTGGCTGTCACTGTCCCAGCATCTTGACTCGGACGGCTGTCACTATCACGCGCCAACCGACATTGTAGCACATTGTCGCGCTTTCGTCCAACGTCGCCCAACCGCACCCGGACCGACCACTGAAAAACGGTCGACCACACACTCGGTGATATCGGCACCCGGGATAACCTGATCTCCGTTGTACTCGGTACTTGGGTTTGTGTGTACCTCGGTATACCACTTATACGCCCCATCCGGTCACACAGCAGCAACCATGTCGTCCACACCAGCCCAGGAAAACGGCACTGTCAACGGCGCCAATGCGGCCCCGGCCCCGGCCCCGGCCCAAACAACGCCCACTCCGGCTCCTGCTACCGCTGCCACTCCCACCACTGCCCCTGCCGCTTCCGCCAACGGAACTGCTGCCAATGCCATGAAGCCTGAGGCTTCATCCAACTCATCCAATTCTGCATCCAACGGCACCACCCCCGCTCCCTCTACCACTCCCACCACCGCCAGCAACTCTTCAGCCCCTGCTGCTGCTCAAGATGAGAGCCTTGTCTGCCGATGGGCTGAGTGCAATGAGCGTTTCACTAGCGCCGAGGTGCTTTACGTATGTCAACACTCTGGGGACTCGCCACGTGGAGATTTCCTAACATGATGAATAGGAACACATTTGCGAGAAGCACGTTGGTCGCAAGAGCACCAACAACCTTAACCTCACATGCCAGTGGAACTCGTGCCGCACCACCACGGTGAAGCGCGATCATATTACTTCGCATGTCCGTGTTCACGTTCCCCTGAAGCCGCACAAGTGCGATTTCTGCGGCAAGTGCTTCAAGCGCCCTCAGGATCTCAAGAAGCATGTCAAGACTCATGCCGACGACTCGGTTCTGGTGGGTCGCTCTCCTCAGGACCAAAACGGTGGCATGAATGGCGCTTACAGAGCTCAGGCTCCAGTTCACAAGGGTATGTATATAACCACTACGCTCCGATTTGGTCTTCCGGAAATCTAGGAGACCAGTTTCCTTCAGTTTGGCCTCGTGCTGGGCCACCCTTGTATGCTCTTTGAGGCTAATTCGCCTCTAGCTCCCTCCGGTTTCTATGATCACAATGGCCATATGCGCGGTACTAACCAAGTCCCTTTTGGCCAGCCTCACCAGAATGGTCAGGCTAGTTACTACCACGCACAGTACCCAGCATCCCAGCCCTACCACGCCCCCATGTACTACCCAGCCCAGACCATGGGCGGCCAGCGTAACGACTTCACCGGCCACCAGGCTGCTCCCTTCGACGCCCGGAAGCGTCAGTTTGATGACCTGAATGACTTCTTTGGCAGTGTTAAGCGCCGTCAAATCAACCCGACCTCCTATGAGTCGGTTGGCCGCGCTCTGATGCCTCTCCATGCTCCCTTGGGGCTTCACTCTGGAGGTCTGGCTACTGAGTACATGGCTCAGCCTCCTCACACTCTCGGCATGGCCAGCGCCCACCATCCCCTCACCCAGCACTACTACCTCCCACCCATGCCCAATCTTCGCACCAAGGAGGACCTCCAGCAAATGGACCACTTCCTTGAGCAAATGCAAGCGACTGTCTACGAGAACACCGCTGTGGATATGCGCCACCACTCGCCCACGTATGCAACGCGCCCGAGCATCGACCCGTATCATGGCGCGTCCCTCGCCTCCCCGCTTAGCGCCACCTCTCCTCACTCGGCCGGCACCCCTGCTGTTACGCCCACTCCTAGCAACATGTCGTATACTTCGGGTCACTCACCAAGCACCTCTTCCACCAGCCTGTCTCCCACCTCTCGCCACAGCTCTACCCCCTCGGTGTCCTACCCGACTCTGCCCAGCCGACCAGGTCTCCCCTACCCCTCGACCTCGGGTCTGGGCTCCAACTTCACCCACAATGAGCGCCGCCTTTCAGGCGGTGTCCTGCAAAGCGCGCGCCGCGCTGCCGATGAGGCCGACCGTGCGCCCACCCCCAAGGCCAGCGAGCAGGCCACAGTCAGCTCGCCATCGGAGGATTCGGAGACGGGCGATGTGAACGGACCCGAAACCTACGACGACTGGCTTCAGCACATGCGCATCATTGAGTACCTTCGCCAAGGCATCCGCGCCCGTCTGGAGAGGCAGGAGTTTGATGAGGACGACACTAGCAGGATCGACCCAATGGTGCTCGAGTCGTCGGATCGGAACCAGCAGCAGCGTAACCAGCAGCAGCAGCAGCAGCAGCAGCAGAAGAGCCCGAATGAGCCGACTGCGGCGGGTCCTTCGGCACCGGAGAAGCCTCTTTATCCAGTTCTTCCTCGCATCAACTAAGCTCCCTATGTAAGGAAAGCACAAGAGAATCGGGGCTTGGATGGGCGTTAAAGGCTGACAGGCGTGATGGTTGGAATTGAACTGTGTTTTCCTTTCTTGTGTGTGGAGGGCAAATGGTTAACTATGCCAGGCTATTGTTTCTTACTCGGATGCGTGGTTACGTGTGCTACTTTTCCTTGATCGAATGAAGGAAGGAAGGCCTTTTAGCCGCGTACGTTTAGTTGTTTTCTCTGTCAAGGGTGCATGCTTTTTGGGGGGTATGCACGGATGGGATATCAGGAGAAGGAAAATAAGAAGTCTGCTTGCTTTGTTTGACTGTAATTATACTTTGCTACCAGTTGCTGCGGTCTACGCAAACCTTTCAAAGATACCTCTTCCCCTCTTTCCCGACTTGTTCATCTTTGTGTAGTTTGTGTGGAATCTGACCGAGAGGTGGCTTAGAGGGAGTGTCTGACCTCATGGTTGCTTTTGGTATCCGTCAGAGAGATGGTGAAAAATGGCGGCAAAGCGGCTACGATGAGAGAGCTTAACAATGTACGAACTCCGGGTTGCATATAATCGAAGTTATCTCATTAGCATCCACTGATGGAAGGCTGTACACCAAACCGATCCCCATATTACCCGATTGTTTGTACTTTGTCGGTTATACAATTTCGACGAAATTGTATAAGTCAAGTGCCTTTGAGTCCTGCTTTTATATTTTCCGATACTTTCAGTCTCGGAGTACTTTGTTCCGCTTAACACCCTTGCTATTTATTGTTCTTCATCTCGTAGTTAACGGTGGAACTTTATTGATATCATCGATGAAAAGGAAACAGATATTGCTTGCAAATCAACAGCTGCGAATCATTCGCGGCGACCAAACATCGACAAATTGGAGGTGCCAGGGATAAGGTGAGCTATCAAGGTGTGATGCCGCACCGATAATGATCCACATTGATGTTCGAGGTGAGGGATTAGGTACCAATGCCCAAAGCTATTTTGTGATGCTCACCCTGATCTCGATCCCCAAATGCCGGTCGGTCCTCTGGAAGCCCGGGCGGGAGGACAAGATATACTTGGCAACTGGAACTGCCCGATGTTCACTAGTGTTTCAGCTGTACAATATTCATGCGAATTCCCGGTGTGAACAACAACCCGAATCTCTTGATGTAGCCAACATGCCGTGTGCGCGCTGGAGGGTCAAGTAACAGAAAAACAAAAACAAGAACAAAGGAACAGTAAAAAAATAAGAATAAAAAAAAGGGAACAAAAACCAGAAATAAAAGGTTTTTTAGAAAAAACAGACCGAGAACAAAATTTCAACAACGAAGGAGGGATTAATCCAAGCACAACATGCCAAAACATATGAGGGTATCGCCGCGCAGCATACTATGGTATGTCTGATGTAGCCTAAATTCCCACCATACTTTTCCTCTAGACAAGCCCTTCGACAAAGAAGTGAAATCCACAATCAAATTTCTTCCCTGCTTCTGTCCAATCATACCAAAAAGGGGCAAGTTCCGTTATCTTTTCCCCAGCCATGTGTTTATCCCAACGTATTCTCCACCACAGCACATTCTCCTTTTTCCTAATCACTACCGTTTGCTGCGGCAGCTTCATCACGACACCTCTTGCACATACACCAACCGCCCAACGCTCCTTGAGCCCATTCCCTTCGGTCCTTGACTGGCAGATCGACGTCGCAGTAGTGATTCAGGATTTCCTCGCCTGCCTTGATGCCACCTGGCCGATTGCCGACGACTCGAGTCTCCCGAGCGAACAATGTCATCCGACCACCCCATTCCCAAGTTACGTTTGGGTCACAGTCGTGGTTAGCCAAGCACCAAAAGGGATGAACAGCTGCTACCTCGGGACGCCCATCACGCAAGCCCTTGCGGGCAGACGCAGTGCCACGAAACTTGCTGTACGCTGTGTTGAAGACCCACAGGTCGTGTTGAGGGAGCGTCTCGAAGATGTCGATGTCCATCTTTTCAAGGACATGAAGAGGGATCTCGATGTTATACTTGAAGGAGAACGGCAAAGTCCACTCGGGCGGTGGGCCGGCGTTGACCGACAAGTCAATATCGTTAAGCTGGGTGGGAACGAAGTCGCCCCAGATGTACTTGATCTCCTTCAACGCCAAAGGATGAACCTCTTGATGGTTTGACATTGCCAGCAGACGAGCCAAGAGGAGGAGGTACAGGGATTCGGCAACATCCTTGGCCTCAGGGTCCTTCGCAATTGAGTCAACGTCCTTGTCGCAAACCGCCGGGTGGTACTGTTCATTGGCCTGAGAGAAACAAAACTCGTCGCAGAAGACAGTATCATAACATTCTGGGCAATTGACGGCTTCTGTTTGCATTTTGAGCGGTGGTAGCTCAGTTCCGCAGGCATCGCACGTGGATTCCTTGTGACGATTGTTCGCCGTCAGTAACGAGTACTCCTTCAAGACAGCCTCGCCAGGGGCAATATCCTCCTTCGCAAAGAGACCCAGCTGGTTACAAGTCGGGATGATCTCGTATTCGTCGGTGTTGCTTTCTCCTTCAAGGAGAACGGGTAGGCACGAAACCTTGACGGCGCACTTGGGCGCCATCGTTTCGAGCTGACCGTTCAGAAATGACAACGACTCCTCCGAAAACCGATCAGGCTCGTACGTGTTCCAGGGGTAGATCTCACGGCGCACAGCACCAGTGTCGGGAAGATCATGGAAATCGATCGGGTCGTCGGGCTTCAAGCGCAATCTCCTCCTGGCAACCTGTTCGATATATCCCTTAATTTCCAGGAGCTCCTTGTTTCCGGGAAGAATCTTAAGACCCTTTTCGACAAAGTCGGACGCGCTTGCTAGACAACCGCACAGGAGAAGACTGAGTGATAGGATCTGGAAGCAACGAACAGAGGCCGTGGTAGCCAGTTGACGGTACGGCTCGGATCCATCACCGTCTTCGCCATCGGCCGTGTTTTTTATGTTGGCAAGAAGGTCGCCATGGTCCAAGACTTTGGGATAAGGCTCGGTTGAGTGGGTCTCAAGAGATCCCTTGGCTTGTTCGTGATATTCGAACCCTTCGTTAAGAACTTCGTCTGTCAAAAGGAGAGCACGGTACGCATCGCCAGCCGCAAGGTCGGGGTACGCTAGGTCAGAATAGACGACGGCTCGCTCCAAGTAGAGGATGAGATCATAGGGAGCAAGCGCCAGGGCATCGGTTAGGCGCTGACGGCGATCGACAAGGGCAGCGCGCTGAACCTCCCTCTCGTCAGGGACGGATGTGGCGGATGGGGATGAGCTTTCCATGGTGGGAAACGAGGCGGTTGGCTGCTTCGGTTACTGGTGGCGCGAGTTGGTCGAAAAGAGGCCCGAATGGTCTAGAAGGGCCAACGAGGTGGTGATATGCTCGTCTGTATGGTCGGACTGTTCGGCCTGGTCAGCCTGATACGGCAGGTGAAAGGTGTGACAGTGAAGGGTGACAAGGACGACAGACGATAAACCTGATGGTGTGCGCGGGAAAGATCAAAGATCGACCAAAACCCACTGCACGTTGAAGGAATATCAAGTCCATGTTGAGGAGCAATGACGGTACCTTGGAGGATATATAAGATATCGAACAAAAGACCTTGCCCTGTCCTCGATGGAGGATTATCTCGGCCCGCGAACTACTGGGGACCGTCGACAAGAAAGACGGAAGAGGGGAAAAGAAGGCGTGCCTACCTATCGTCCCTTCCTTATTCCGCCCAATATCTTTCCGGGTCCGCAGAAGCCCGAGCAGAATTACCTACACCCGCTGCAGTCCGGATACTACTACATCCAGCACCCAGCTCTACACCCTGAACAAGATCTACTTGGAAATAGTGGGCAGTAGCGAGTGGTCGGATGACGGAGGAATGGGGAGAGTCAAGATCGATGTGACAGGGAACCGAAGCGGAAGCTACCTTGTATCGCGTCCAGAAAGAACGGGTGGGAGAGGCGAAATGGGTCAAGGAGGGTACTGGGGTGAAAGAAAAAAAAGTTAAAAAAATAAACGGAAAATACAACGACAAAATCAGTTGAGCGGCTGTATCCAGGTGAATTGCACCTGCCTGCAAAGAACAGAAAAGGACGCCAGTGCTACTAGTAGAGTCGCTAGAACGATCCTGAAACGATGTCATTTCTCGCGTCAGAGTTTTATTTTTACCTCGCTGCTGGGTTGTGTGTTATCCCCGCCGTTTGGTCCCCCATCTATCCCGTCGACGAGTTTGAACCCTGCACAGGCTCCCCAAGGTACCATCACCGAACGGGTTGATGCCAGGTGAGGGCTGTCCCTTCCAGGTCCTCGCAGCCGTCGCAAATGCTCCGGATTCGCCCAAGCTAAGCCAAATTCAGAACGCTTGTAGCGGAAACCATACTGCGAGGGGGTGGGTGCAACCTCTGGTCAATTGACTGTCGAGAACTGAAAAGCGCTTGAGTGACTATCAAGATGAAAATGATAGAAAGAATTATAAAAGTCACAATATTAGAATGCCTATGGTGTGTCCATGGCTGTTACTAGTCAAGTAATCAAGATTATTTGTAAAAAAAAATACAAGAAAGAAAAGACTTTTCAAGTTACAAATTTACCTACAAGACTTGAAAGTTTGCATTTCAGTAAACATTTCAAAATTACAACGGTCAAGGTAATTAACGGTCAACTGACTGCGGGCTTGCACCCACCCCCCTCGCTGACGGGATCGCTGCAAGTACCTTGATCTAATATCTAATAACGCCGGCCGGCCTGCCAACGTCTTCCACTTCTACTGAATAACCGGGTCAACTGTGGGGGGTTTTGGTCCCGTCTGTCGGGCATTCGGGAAACACCAGTCCTCATCCACTGGCGTCAGGTTTTGTGGCATGGGCAAATTTGTCACAGCACGCCGATTTGGACGTTTCCTTGACTGGTAAAAGGTTGAGCTCCAATGAAGGAGGATGAAAAGATTGATCGACAGAGCTCCTGTCCCTTTCGCACGTAAACGAAGGTAAGGTCTGGAAGCTTCTTCAGGGCGGCGGAATACCTTGAGAGCTCGAGAAGTACAAATGGACCCCGAACTATGATGTTGCCAATATTACGGTCGCCGTACTGATGAAAGGGTATTCATGGGGGCATCTTTACCGAGGACTGGGTCATGAGAGGACCCTTGGAATCCCGTCGATCTGAACCCTTAGGAACGGCTCCAATGAAATGAACGTGACCCTTGGCGTCGACTTTGGGGACACCAAAAAAAAACAGGGCGGAAAAGGCAAGGGTTTACACCCACGTCTGCCGGGATGGGTTGGCCGGCAGGTCAGCGGCGTTGAGCGACAGGTTCGACATGATGTTGTCGTTGAGCGCTTCAGGTTGGTAAAAATTCAGGGTCCTTCCCCAACTGATGGCTTGCATATTGCACACCCTCCTTGTCCACCACTAACCGTCAGTCTAGGCCCAGGGTTAGGCTAGAGTTACATCAGCACCTGTGAGCAGGGTCGGCGCACCAGAATGTCAGGGTTATACAGCCGGTTACGTCATGGGCTGCCCAGGGCTTCCAGGCCTAAGTCGAACTTTGATCTGAAGAGAGACAGAACAACGAGGCTTCCCGTAGCCGGAAGAGGGAAGAACTAAGCCACTCCGAAGTCTGAGTGTTCCGAGCCCCAAAGATCCAGACCGGCCACTGTCCTACTTTTGAAATAAACATGATCACATGTGGCTTTTTTCCTTTCTTGCTCTCTCCACTATTTGCACTAGTTGCCATCAAGGAAACTTCCCAACATACCAGATACCAACATGCGAATATGCCATCCAATACCGCCAGACCCTTTGCCAATGGTCCATGTTGTCATCCTCATTCACTATCATAATCAGGCCAGCGATAGGGGGACGTGATGGCAGACGGACAAGCAGGACCTTGTTATTCCCTTCCCGGCCGTCTTTGTGTTCCTGTGGCCGGGCCTCGAATCATTCACTTGTTCTAGTCTATTCCATTGGCCGCCTCAATTTCTTCTATGCTTGCTCTCTATTAGAGCAAAATATGGCCAAAAAAATCCACGCCGTCTATTCTAGCATCTATAGCCCCCGGTCTTACCAGGCATGCGTAGCTCCTCATATCCGCACCCTGTACATCACCAGTTCCTGGTTCTCCACCTTTATTGCGCTGCAGCCCTAAGGTCACTAAGCTTGTCGACGTAAAACGACGGCACGGCAACCGCATCCGCCGCCTCCCAGTCCTCCTTCTTGTTCACACCCGTCAGGACTGCAAGCGTGCCACCCAGCCGTCCCTCGATGCCGAACTTGATATCGGTGTTGAGCCGATCTCCCACCATGCACGTCCGTGCGCGGTCCAGGTGGAACTTGCCCTCGATGGCATCCATCATGGCCTGGCTAGGCTTTCCGAGCGCCACGGGTTCCTGTCCCGTCATGTGAACCAGCGGAACGCTGATGGAGCCTGCGCCGGGGAAGAAGTTGTTGTTCATGGGGAAGGTTGAGTCCACATTCGTGGCCAGGAACACGGCGCCACGGCGGAGGTATTGGTATGCATGCGACAGCTTCAGGTAGTTGATGTGCCAGTCTAAGCCCACGAGCACACAGCCGACCTCAGGATCGAGTAGAGATCCGTCCGCAAGGCCATTGAAGTCTTCTACTGTGACGTCTCTCCGGAAGGATGGGTCGGTGCCACCGATGAAGGGGATGTTCTCGGTCGTCAACTCCTGCTCAATGCCTCCCTCTCCAACAACAAAGACCTTGTTCTTGGGCGGCGCCAGCTTCAGAATCCTTGAGATGTAGATGGCAGAAGAATATGCGGAGCCAAAGATCTCATCTTCATCTGCTGGGATTCCCAAGCCCTCGAACTTCTTTTTATACTCGGGACGAGACTTTGTTGAGTTGTTGGTCACAAACACCGTCTTCTTGCCTGTCGTCAATTTTGTCAGATTGGGTCCCATATGAACCTTGACAGGCTGGGGTTGTTTTAACCTCTTGATCTCAGCAACTCGAGCGTCTCGACAACACCCTCGAAAACATGGTCTCCAGACCATAGAACACCATCGCAGTCGAACAAAAACACCTGTTTTTTAAGTGAGTATTGCATCCGGCATTCATGGTATTACTGATGGTTCCATCCGAGAAAAGACTAACATCGAACTTGTCAATGAACTCATTGATGGCGGCAACGTCGCCAGTTAGGTATTTCGGCTGCGCCATGGTAGGGTTGCTAGGTATGTTCTGAACACGGATAGCTTTTGAATCAAAAAGAGGATGGGCGCCAAGTGAATGATTGACCTAGGTAACTTTTCGGAGATGTTCGTTCGAGGCTTTCTGAAGGAGTGGTGATTGCTCACTGAATCAGATACTGTGGACTTGACCACGTCTCCAAGGCGTGGCGATCGTGACTCTCACAGCATCTCCGAGCCCGGCCGCCGCCCCGTTCCTGCGCCTGCCGCTTCCAGAGTCACGACATGATTGGTCATTGGCATGGTTGTGGCGCCCAAAATGGATCTATGTAATTCGGGGCCAGTGGAAAGCTGCCAAAACGAAGCGCCAACAAACAACTGAACAAGCTGGCGCTCGTTGGCCCTGGTTAGGCAAACGATCGCCAGAACACATGGAAGGTGGCCGGGAGATCAACTCTGTTAGTGTCCACTGCTTACTCATGTAGTCCTCAGCGAGTGCTTCATCAAAGCCACACGATTGTCGAGGCTGTTTGGCGATAACCTCTACACTACTTGTACGCTACAATACATTTCAAGATCATTCATCTACCTGGGAGTTGGGTACCTAAGTATGCCGCTTATCATTTTGGGCAAAGCGGTCCGTGCCAGCCCGGGACCAGACTCAATGCGTTTCGTAGACGTGTTTCCGTTCTTGCAGCATTGATTGAGATTGCTCGAGATCATGGTACTTGCGTTTCGTCTGGAACTGAGGTGCTTAAGACTTGGCGAGACAATGTGCAAACCAAGAAAGCGCCGAGATTGTAACAATCGATTCGCACACCTGAAAGACAACTACCGACCTTATCAGTGACGCAACGAACAAGGGCGTTTTCGAGCTACCTCTGCGACCCTTCAAAAGTAAACAAAATTACCCCGCCATGGCCCGCCTTGCGAGCAATAACTGGCCTTGAAACTAGCACTAGAATAAATTCCTTTCCTCCGGGCTGCCTAGCGATATTGTCAATTGATGAGGCAAGGCAAGGCAATTCCTTGATGAATGGATGATAGGAGGGTCTTTGCTTAGAACTTGGATTTAGCGAGTGTTCAAGTTGTCAATCCACATCGCCAAACTGGAACATCGTGGAATACCTTTCTTCTGAGCGGAAATGATCAAGACGGGCTGCCAGCAACAGTGGATCTCCCGTGCCCATCAATCTCCTAGACTTCCCACTTCCGGGGTATGTCATTGGATTTCATTCAATCTTGCAATCGCCTTGCCAGTATCCAAGGTCCTAGCCTTGCATGTATCAGATCCAATGCCCATGTATCCCATCCACCTCCTATTCTACACCACCGAGACAGTCCAACACGTTGCCGGCCGTTGCCTTTTTGGTGTAGTTGTCACTACGGCTGTCGTAGATCTTCGCATCGTGCCCCTTCAAAGGTTGAAGGGTGTCTCGCCCTGCGAATCTGACGACGGGTGCGGGACCAACCAGACGGAACCCTCTTCAAATTCCAAAGGACGGAAGCTCGGAAGATCTTCCTTCGAAGCTCGTTCGGTTGGTACTCGGGAAAATCGAAGTTCAGACAACAAAGAAGCATTCATGCCATTGGTCAGCAGGCTGAGAGCGATCTGCAAGTGCATATGCGGAGAGCACATGGCTAGGACATACCTAAGCAGGATATCGTATGATATCTGCATCATAGAATAAAAAGATTAAAGAAACAAAACACCTCATCACGAAGAGTATTCAAGTTCTTTATTTGGGTGTCTGTCAAGAGAGAGTAATGATGACAACAATAAGAAGTGTTAACCTCCTAGTATAGATAGAAGGTTGAATAAAACCTAAAAGTAGCCTCTAGTTAACCTCCACTCTGAACTATGTATAAACTGATTTGTGATCGAATCAGGCTGTTTTGTGTGTGTGAGGGTGCGTCCAGCATAAACTTTGGTAGCTAGTAAGTGACTTACTCAATTGGTTATGCAGCTTTGGGTAATCATCAGTAACCTACTTGGAGATAGGGTTGTTCACAAAATTTCCAAATTTTCATACCACAACCCAAAAAGCGATCAAACTTATGAATTCTTATTTCGGCATCCAAACTTGTAGAGAAACACCTAGTGGTATTTCACCGGCGCCGAAGCTCCCACCTATGTCTTTTCACAATGTCAAACTAGAGTCAAGCTCAACAGGGTCTTCTTTCCCCGCTGATTCTGCCAAGCCCGTTCCCTTGGCTGTGGTTTCGCTAGATAGTAGCTTCGGTAGAGAGTGGTTCAATCAAATAAAAAAAAAGGAACCAAGGAGTTGCCCCTTCACTTTCGCCCGGATACTATGCCGTCATTGAATGGCCTTCGGAACTTTCCAGCTGTCACTCGCGTTTGCTGTCCGACCTACCGACGTATCTTCCCCTTACCTTGCATAACATCATGATTAAAATGCGTACAAGCAACATCTTGAGATTAAAGCCAGCACTTTGTCAGCTCGGTAGTTTCATCGAAGTATTCCATAATGATGACCTGCTAGTGCTGGGGCGTCGGCAGGGTAGGATCAAATGGAGGCAAGAGATAAGAGGTTGACCATGACGATGTTGCAAGACTGGGAGCGACATGGCGTCTTGATCTCACTATGACGGATAGTACTCTCAAGAGGCAAAAGAAACCCAGCCTTCACAACAACGGGCAAGCCAAGACTGCTCACCAAATCTGTTCTTCAACTATTCAAATGTCGTCCCTTTCCCCAAAAAAAAAAACGTGTTATAGCGAAGTCAAGCACAGCATCCATAAGACAACAGTATGATATCATAGGGTGAGACACGATGCCGTGGCTTTGTAGAGCTCCAGATCTATCGTAGTGTAGTGCCAGAGTGAACCTTCCTTTGAGAGCAGGCCAACACATACATACAACTTGGCTAGCCTCCAATGACTGATGTCGAACCATTACACTTCTATAAGCAGGATGGGGGTAAAGATATGAGATCTTGAGAAACATATGTAGCAAATTACCCCTCAAACCCCTCCATCATCACGGACCCTTGAGTTATAAACCCGCGTGGATGGTGATGCTATGTCCCGCTGTCTCACCCATACCTAGTAGATACCTCTATCACCCCCACGTGCATCGGTTATCGACAGGGTGAAAAGTGTTATCGCAGGTACTGTTGGGACGAGTACCTCTACGTCTTTTCCGTAGGAAAATTCCCAGACTTTTCTACATGATTCCATGGCAGTGTCTTTTGTTCCCACAACCGACCTACCAACTTTACTAGTTGTTGGCTGGTGTTAAGCAGCTCCTTGCTCTTCGTAGGGTGACCCTGGACTTTGTCTTTACCGACAACCTCCAAAAGCATATGAGGCAAACATTGTTCTCGGAGCACAGAGTACTAGGGTAACTTCGTTCGAGCTCAGACACAATGATCGGTTAGTCGAAAAGCTGCGAATTGCGGCTTTCCATGACCATATCTTGAGTATCGAGCGGCTTCGTCTGCCATGAGCTGTTATCGTGGTGTTGGGGAGACTCCATACCTGACGTATACCTCCCTAGGTACCTCTACTACTGTAGTACGTCGCTACCTAGTAGTATCTGGAGGGCCTTCAAACAGGGGAGGTGCAGTTTTGATCCATTTTGATTGGTCGCAAAAAAAAAGCTTTTTTGGTTCATTCCCTGCAGTTCGCCCATTGGTAGTTCCCCACTGTAAAACGATGACGCTCGGAGCTACTATCGCTACGGCCTCCGCTACGGCTTTCAGTGACTGACTGTACCTCTAAAAGCTGGTCCAGTTTGCGCTATCGTCCCGGCCCCCGCAGTCATCGCACGGGGACAAGACACCGACAGACCATAACCCAACCCGTTTCTCTTTCCCTCCCGCCCCCCCCCCCCTCTCCACGACTTTGAACAATCACGAAGTGAGTAAACACACAAAAACCACCCACGAAAAGTGTAGAGACCTCCTATCGCCGGTCATCGTAATTGAACAGACCTAAAACCTCGCCGCCCGAAGCAGCACCAACATAAATCCCCCACCACAACATCACAGCAACCTCCCGCGATAAGCCAAGCAACAGCAATGGGCAAGCAAGTCAACCTCTACTCCTTCCCCAGCGTCGATACGCTCGCGACCGCCCTCCGCTCCTACCTAATCTCGTGCCAGGAGGCCGGCCTCGAGCGGCACGGCGTCTTCAAGGTCGGCGTCTCAGGTGGCTCGCTGCCCAAGACGCTCGCGCAAGCGCTGCTGGCCCCGGCCAAGGACGAGTCGGACAAGGTCAAGTGGGAGAGTTGGGAAATCTTCTTCGCGGACGAGCGCGCGGTCCCTCTCAACCACGAGGACTCCAACTACGCGCTACTCAAGAAGGAGCTGCTCGACAAGCTCCCCCAGGGCACCCCGCAACCGACGGTACACACCATCGATGAATCCGTCCTCGACGACACGCAGGAGCTGGCGGATCGGTACGAGCAGACGCTCGTCCGCTCTTTTGCTTCGCGCGACTCGGTCAAGCTGCCCATCTTCGATTTGTTGTTGCTGGGCTGCGGGCCCGATGGACACACCTGCTCCCTCTTCCCCGGACACGAGCTGCTGCGCGAGACCGAGGCCTGGGTCAGCCCCATCGAGGACTCGCCCAAGCCGCCCCCGCGCCGCATCACCCTCACCCTCCCCGTTGTGACGCACGCGGTGCGCGTTGCGTTCGTGGCGACGGGCAGCGGCAAGAAGGAGATCATGAAGGACATCTTTGAGGAGGGCAAGGGGTTGCCGTGCGCCCTCGTGAACGAGGCGACGGGTGAGAGGTGCAGTTGGTTCGTGGATAACGCCGCTGTTGAGGGAGTCAGCTACCCCAAGAGGCCGTTTAGCCTATAGAACATGACGTGATGTCTTGATTTTTTTCTTTTTTTTTTCTTTGCGGGTTGGAAGGAAGAAGGGAAGGGAAGATTGCGATTTGGCGTATTGCTCAGGGAAAACCCGGGGATATAGAGGTAGACAGGACGGTGAAGGGAAAAATACTCAAGTATGAGAAGGAGGGACAGGAAACGGGGTTGAAAAGGAGGAGGAAGAGAGTCACAAGCGGTTTGCGTCTCACCCTACACGACAGGCCAGGACGAAGCGACCGATAAGGGCAAAAATAAGATAGAAGAACACACGAGGAAGGTTCAAATGGGCGGAATTGAGGGCCTAAGCGGAACAACCGATCTTCCTGATCAACACATCCCCAAAAGCATCAATAGACTAGGACGGCGGACGCGGAGGTTGGAGTTGATTTTTGGGACGAAAACGGAGTGATTGGAGTTTTTCACATTATTCCGTACGTATGTATGTACAGGTAGCGGCGGGGGCTTTGTCTCTTTGCAAACGACGTTGATGATACTGCTCTCATACGCACAATGTTAATCTTCATTGCGGTATTCGACAAGGAAAACAGACTGTTGCGGTGGTGAGAAACGCGGTCTACTGACAGACACTCACTTCCTTCCATCCACCCAATCTTCAAACACCTCCCACCATGATGAAAAATGTATGCTACGATACAGGCTATGACCCTTGGACGGATCAAGGATGTCCTGCTATCATTCTCAAGTCTCCAGAAGTTATACGGCGTCACCAATTGGTCAAGAGGAAGGCTGCAATGTCCCATAGCAATGACTTCTATTCTATGCTCCCTTTTTTCCCATCTTTAACTTCCCCCTTTTGGCCTTCATATATGTTCGATGTCCAGGAACCGTAGCAGTGGCGGATCATAACCTGTGCCCGCTCACACCCATCCATAAACCATTCCAGGTCTCTCAGGACCGAGTTCAAAACCATCCCGGTCTATGCTGAGTTCTGAACCCCACAAGCACAGCTGCCGAAAGATATCAAACCCGCATCCTGTTCCTAAAGTAGCGCAACCCACAAGCTCGCCGCCGACTGCTGTTTCGCCAAACTGCTTCCATCAAACGGTCCCGACCAGCTTGTACCATACGTATCATCTGCGTTTCGTGCCTTCTGATAAGCCGAGTTTGCGTTCTGCTCCAGGTATGTGCGATACGGTCGTCCCACAATCAACACATCGAGCTCGCCGAGGTTGCGAGCAAATATGCCCTTAAAGCTCTGCTGGTCGTAGTTACAGCCCGCGGCGGTGCCCTCGCAGGCGTAGTCGGTTAGAACACCTGTGGAGGGGGGAGTGAGTTGGGGCGAGGAGATGACGGCGTTGGCGAGGGTTGCGGCGGAGCGGATGTAGGTTTCGTTGAGTGTTGTGCGAAAGAGTTCTGGTTGCAAGGGTTGGGTTGTCAGTTATTTTCAGTTCATTGGCTGTTTCGTTCTATATATGATATTATAGAAAAGGTGTTGGAACAAAGGGGGTACCATACCAACTAAACCGCCTATTACCACTCCCTGGAGGTACGACCACGTCGGTCCCTCGTTGTTGAAGCACACTCCATTAGCCTTATCTTGCGTCAACCCGTCATTGACCAATTCCTCTGCGTTGATCATGCCCGATTCCACGAACCACTGGTGCGCCTTGAGCGCCCTGGTCAGATAACGAGCATCACCCGTTCGAAGATGCAAAGCCGCGGCCAGCTTGATATACAAGGCGTTGGCAATGGCATTCTTGTACGTCATCGCCTTGATGTCCACATAGATGCCGCCGCCACACTCCGTGTCCGTCCAGTAGTTCCAGATGTACTGCTCGTCCTGCATCGCAATCGTCAGGTATCGCTTGTCGCCCGTAAGGTCAAACATGCGGAGCATGGCCAGCGCCCACCAGCCCGTATCGTCGGTCGAGTCCGCCCTGAAGTTACCGCCGCCTTGGGGCCACCAGGGCAGGGGGGCCTTTTGCTTTTCGATGATCTCGTGCGCCTGAGAGAGGTAGTCCCGTGAGCCGGTAACGTGCATGTAGTCCAAAACCGCCTGGAGGGCGGTGCCGGAGATCCACCAGGCGACATCGGGAGACCAGCGGCCTTCGGAGGGGTTGTAGAAGGCGTTGTTCATGGCGTCGATGGCGGCTTTGGCGGCGGTTGACGGGTCGATGACCGTAGAAGCTTGGATGGGGCTCAACATGCTTGCGAGGCCCGCTATGCCAGCCAGGATCTGTAGAGATCTCATCGCGTCTGGGAATTTGGCGGTCAATTCTGCTTAATTGTAGACTAGGAGGTAAAAGGGAGAAAACCTCACGACCACACAGCTAGATATTTATAGATGATCTTAAGCGGCTCAAGGTCAGTGAAGTGTTTACCAGCGAAGTCTTCACCACGTTGATGCGCCACGTGCCTGTTTGCCATTCTAGAGGCTCCATGGAGGAGCTGATACAGATGACATGAGCAAGTTCCAGTCTGGACGAAGGAAATCAACGCCTCCGCCGCAGCATTTTCTCAGCAGGGCGGTGTTGAGGGTCACCGCATTGTTGTTCTGCCGTCCCGATACGAGGGTAGATCATGGTTGTGTGTTGTTGGTTTGGCAGGAGGGGGCACCAACCAGCTTAAAGGATAAACAACAACAGCAACACCAACTCTTAGGACGAAGTCAATGCCCCTTCCTCCACTAGGGAGTTGGCCCGCCAAGGCCGGGAACACCGCCGCTTGGGCAACGGATGCATCTGTGCCGTGCCGGACCCATCATCACAACGTGGTCATCGGTATAGTCTTGAGGCACAGGACGCGGATGACTTGGCTTGGAGAATACAAGTTCTTTTCGAGAACATGAATAGCCTTGAGTCTCGCAATCCCGAGGCAACAACTGGTGTAAGTGCGACACGTCAAAGCCACAGGCCCAAGTGGTCGTCTCGTGAACAAGCGTCATCCAGTTGGCAACATATCTCGTCGGGGCTGCTGCTACTTGCAGTTGTCGAGCAACCCTGTCCCATAGCGGACATCGCTCTCCCAGAACGAGAGCGCGAATAACCCCAGAAGTCCCAATCCATCTCAGTAAGTGGTGTTTGTGTGCCGAGTTCTTGCGGCGACGAGGGTCATCGTATTTAAACCTCTTCAGTTTCTCATGTAATGACCCGGACCCAAATGTTACTCTGTGTCTCCGGGACCTGCATCAAGCCGAATTGGTGTGCATCCTACCTGAAGCTCGGGAAGCTTCTTCGAAGCGAAGGATGATTGGTCTGGGTGCTATTGCTGGTGACGTTGAAAGGCACAGAGCGCCCCAGACTTACTTTGTCGATCATTTCAACGTATGGCGTAGGTGTGTACACTAGAAGGAGAAGGGTGCCAGGAATTGAAGAACCGGATCGGGGAAGTGGACGCGGGAACAACCGCATGTACCTTTAAACTCCAGCTGGATGATAGACCTTCGATGCCAGGAAGAGAGAGGATGGAAAGGAGAAAAAGGAAGGAACGCAAGGGATAAGAGCCAGCAGATACTGCTACACTAGTACTGTACACTACATACATACACTACGTGCGGAGAACCCGTTGTTCCCTTGTCCTGCATCATGTTCGCCGTGCATATCGGTACCGAAAGGAACTGTGTGTAATCCATGCGGAGCCCGCTTCTGGCCGTAGAGGTGCTCCGTATCCGCCCCGCCATAACAATATTTGCATAGAGCAGGCCATCCGTGCTCCCTCCGTATTCGACTTCTCAAGGTCGCAAACCGAGGGTCGTGCGACGGATAGCAATTGGCTATCACGATGTATGAAATTGTCTTGCCAGCAAGTCTTACGTCCTTGTGTTAGCCTCTGGTACTGTGTGAGTGTGGCTTGAAGTGATGACTGGAATGCTTTTCTTCTTTTGCTTTCCCATGTTGAGGTTTAGCATTTGCGTCATGTGAAATTCTTCAGGGGGGGCAAAGGATTACGCTTGCCAGGAACGGAATAGCGCATCCTGGCTACAGACGAAATGTCATGCATAAATTGAAGGAAAAATTCAAATCTCGGGACCCGTTGTACTGAATTCTGTATCCCGGGAGAATCTTCAACTTGCTTCATCTCGGTGGACTTTAATGCTTCTGGTCTCCGTCTGAACCTCGGTTTGTCACCGATCCGGCCATACTTTCGTCTGAAGGTTCAGATGATGTTGATGATGGCATCAGGGCGATTCGCATCGAGGCTGTCACCCGGTCTTCGGTCTTCGGTCCCAGCGTCGGGTAAAGGGGTATCTCTTCCGAAGCTATTCCCTTGCACGCTGCGGGATTACTACCATTCATCTACAAGTGCCCATGTCCGCAACACGCCTGAAGCCGTTTGCGCCACTTCCTGGCATCCCATGATCCATCTGATTTCTTCCAGAACCACACAGATGCACCGAACATGGCTTCAAATCATCTTCGCAGAGTAAATGCTGCAATTCGCTCTCGGGTTAAGTGCAGACTTTGCATATACAGTACATGTGTGACATATCGTTGCGCATCTGATGGGCCTGTGGATGTTTGTAGACGTCCAGCAGCCCGAAGGCTTTTACTGCTTGGTGAAGATGTGAAGATCATCAGACATCTGTGATTAAGGGCAAGCCTCATATAACAGCAACAGGCAACAACAACAACTGCACGAGCGACTTTGACTTCGTTCGTGCCAAATCGAACATCACAGACTTGGCCGTTTGGCTCATCGCGAGCGGCTGTTTCAGAAGAACATGGGACAATGTGACTGCAGGGGAAAGGGTCCCTTTAGGGCGATCCAACTAATTTCCATATGGGCCGCCTCGAGTCTTGCAGGGAATAGGGCTCATGGGAGCCAGGGGGGTGAGGTTACCTCTATGTAACCTTGTCGAAATGCGAATTCATCGTCTGCAGTGTTGTCTCGAATTTTATCGAGTTGCCGTTTTCGCATATACCTGACCTGACCTACCTACCGTACGCACAATTGCTCGTCTCAACTCTTTCGCGTGGCCATCTATATCTCTTGCACGAAGTAAGGTCTCACTGCCGCCAGTGGGATTCCGGCGCAGTCGTATTACCATCTCTTCCCAGCCGGCAACCCGCCGGGAGTCGCCTCGACGAAGATCATACGAACCCTCCCACTTCATGTGCAACACCACATGCGGGCCTTGTTTCTTGTCCTAGGGAACCGTCGCATCGCTCGCACTCAACCGGACTTTTGGAGTTGGACCAAATCGTTGCCCTCAGACCATCCTGCTCGCCATTCTGTCTCCCAGTCCTGAGCCGAGTCACACGATATCCTCTTATTGACAGGGAATCTGGAACTCGTATCCTGTGCTTTTCGGGGAAAGGGGAGATACTGAGACACACCTAGCACCCGAGAGACGGCTCCTTGAAGGAGCATCGAGTCGGACAGTCACTCTCCATCATGGAAGCAGCTGCAAATTTCTTGAGGAGGAAGCGGTCCGCTGGGGGAGAGAAGGGCAGATCGCTTTTCTCAAAAGCACACCCAACCCCCTCGTCCAGTGCCGGACCAAACAGATTGGATTTGGACCTCCCCGATCTTCCCAAACTCGAGCTCTCCGAGTTGCTTCGTTTTGGCGGGGCCCAATCGAAGGCTCCCGACCAATCGTCGCTATCGCCAGAAGCAACAACAGGAGGAGCAACAACCAGAAGTCCAGCACCGCCCAAATCCGCGCCGCCAACGACAACAACAACAACAACGCCCATAGCAGCAACGCCGACGTCAGCGACGTCAGCTTTGAGCCCATTGGACAAGAAGCTGCCTGTTGCACCAATCCAGACTCGTACTGGTATCTCTGGTCCCCCAACTGGTCCTCCCACTGCGCCGCCTCCTCCGCCGCCACAGCAAGCAAAACCAAAGT